CACACCAGGACCAGTATATGAAGCTGATGAACTTCTGAAGGAGAATGGACATGAAGTATTACGACTTCCCCCCTACCACTGCGACCTAAATGCCATTGAGCTGATATGGAGTTTGGCTAAACGTAGTGACAAGTAAAAATCTTGGCCTGACTGCAGCAAAGTTAGAGAGAATTATGAAAGATTCATTTGAAAGCATAACTTCGGAGGAGTGGAAGAAAATGACTGATCATGTCATACATGTAGTAAATAAATATAAAGAAAGGGACAGAATCACAGAAAATAATTTGGAAAGTTTTATTATTAATGTTGGAAACAGTGATTCTAGTGACTCTAATGAATCTTTTCAAATAGAAGTTTTAAATTCAGATTTTGATTATGAAAGTGAATAAATTAAATTATTATAAAAAGTATTGTTTTTTTATATGAAATATGAATATATTTCTTATAATGACAATACTACGATCTGTCACACAGATTGTCAAAAATTCTGTTGTTATAGGCACCGCGACCTCGGCCCAGAGCAGGAAAAGGAACAGGGAGTTTTAGTCAGTAAGTGTCTGACACTCCTTCCCGCCTGGCCCTGGGCGGGAGAAGTCATTCGATGATTTTCCCCTCACAAAAAAAAACCTCGTAATAATCCGTTTCGGTGTTTGAGTTTTTTAATGTTATAATGCCGAAACCTATTAAAAGTAGTGTCAGGAGCTTGTTGTTTACAATGATTAATAAAGAGCGAATCTGACGACATGTTATCACAAAAACGAAGACTTTTAAATGTAATCGTTACAACAAGTGAACAATTGTCTTTTTTTTTTACTGTGTAATTTTATGTGATCACGATTTCCTTTTTGGCTTATACCCAGACGTCATGTTCATGAACTTGAACCTTACTCAGGCATCTTTAAGAGAAAACTTCTATAAAGATAGTTGTCTTTTTTTTCAGCCTCCCTTGATGATGAACTACAAGTGTAGTTCTGTCCCAGAGATCAAGCTATCTTTTATAAGTATAAAAGATAGCTTGATCTCTGGGACAGCTGTCAGTAAAATAACTTTATTTTTTTATTTTTGTTACTATTACTGTTAATTTGTTGAGTTTAGTTATTATTGTTTGTTTTTTTATGGTTACTTTTTATTGTTTTTTTTTTTTTTGTTTGTTGGCATAATGCTAAAGAGAACGAAGAAAACTGTTTTGAACAGTCAAAGTCGTGATTTTGTGATTCGCTTATGTGAATATTTTGAGCGAGAAAACCAAAATGGTGGCCCGCTAATACCCATGGCGAGAGTTTGTGACAGTTGCAGATGCTCTTGGCATTGGACGTGCGACAGTAATTCGCATCAGCAAAGAAAAATATGGTGAATCCTTAACCGCAGTATTAACTGAAGACGAAGATAAAAAACTTTCGACGCAAAATAAAAAAGGAAAAAGGCCGCTCCTGTCACAAATATTGACGATTTTGACGCCGCTGCGATTCTTAACCATATATATTATAGTCGGGGTGAATTGCCTAGATTAAAGAAACTGGTCGTGCCCCTAAAAGACGCAGACTTGTTTAAAGAAAGCTTGCCGTCACTATCAAAGATTTTGAAAAATATTGGATTTTCCTACAAAAAATGTGACAAAAGAAAAATTATAATGGAACGAACCGACATTGCTCTTGCTAGAGTGAATTTTCTTCGGAAAGTAAAAAAAAACACAAACTGGGGGAAACTTGTCTTTTTCGACGAGACATGGCTAAACGCCAATCATACCGTATCCAAAGTTTGGACCGATGATACGGCACGATCGACCACCAATGTACCCTAAGGCAAACGTCAAAGATTAATAATAACTCATGCTGGGACGTCATCTGGTTTTGTGCCTAACTTGAATGCTAATTAGGCATTGGCATTCAAATCTACTAAGACCACTGAATACCACGAGGAAATGAATTTTGAAAAATATAAAATGTGGTTTTTGAAATAATTGGAAAATTTGGAGGAGCCACATTATATAATTATGGATAACGCCCCATATCACTCGGTCCAAAAGCACAAACCACCAACTTCGGCAAACAGACAGAAATAATTGCATGGCTTCAAGAAAAAGGAATTGAGGCTAATGAAACTATGCTTAGAAATGAATTGTTAAGACTCGTTGGTTTGCACAAACCCAGCACTTCAACATATGTATTAGATGACATAGCCACCGAAAAGGGTCATAACGTCATAGGACTGCCTCCATACTGCCAGTATAATCCGATCGAGGTTATCTGGGACCAAGTGAAAGGTTTGTTTGCTTGATTTTGAATTTGAAGAGTTCTTTATGTATTAACTTCTATATAATTAATGATATCAAAAATATGTTTTTCTTTCAAGGTTACGCAGCCAGACATAACACAACACCGCCTTTCACGGCAAATAGAATGTTACAATTATTGAAAACTGCGGTCGACAATGTATCTGCAGAACATTGGAAGAAGGTGGTAATCAAATGTAGAAAATTAATGGAAGAAGATTGGGAGCGGGACGTTCGATTTGATAATATTTGCGAACAAGAGTTCATAATAAATTTACAAGATTGCTCTAGCGATTCTGAAAGTGATTCGCATATACATTTGGGGTGTACTCCTTTGGAATAAATGTATCTCAGATTAAAATATACGTTTCATTTTAGTACCAAAATTATATTCCAAATATAAGTACATATAATTTTAGCATCGATAAGTAAGAAACGTCGAAAATTACTATCGATATTTTTTTGTATCATGACAACCTTTTTTTTGTCAGGGGAAAATTATCCAATGACTTCTCTCGCCCAGGGTAAGGCGAGAGAGAGTGTCAGACTCTTACTGACTAAAAACCCTCCCGTTCCTTCTCCTGCTCTGGGCCGAGGTCGCGGTGCCACATTGCGCTTACCCCGCAGCCCCGTCTGATCATGACCACCCTAGGAATGTCAGTTTGACGAATGTCGCAGAGATCAAGCTATCTTTTATAAAAAGCACAATTCATAATTTAGTTAAGCAAGTCATAGCCATAGAAGACAATAAAAAAATAAAATCACGCCCACGACAGCCAAACGTAGCCAACCTGGATAGTTTTGATTTATCAGCCATTCACAACAAAATCAATGAATTTTACTGCGTGAAAAAGCAAGTACCAACTCTACGAAGTTTGCTTGCAGATTTAAGAGAGTCTATTGGATTTACTGGATGTCATGAAACATTAAGACTGTTATTATTCAAAAATGGATTTGAATAAAAAAATAAAAATAAGAGATCTCTTTACTTAAAAAGTTTGAACTAGCTGCATGGCGACATAAATGTCTCAGAGCTATTGATGAAAAGCAGAAACAAGAAAAAAATATGATAGTTTATCTCGATAAAACCTATATCCACTAAAATTATAAAGTTAAAAAATCATGGCAAGGGGCAATCAACAAGCGGGGTAATTGATAAAATATCATCAGGCAAAAGACATATTGTTGTTCATCCTGGATCCGAAAAAGGTTTTGTACCTAAAGCTTTTATTAGTATTCATTACTAAATCAAAAATGGCAGATTATCATGATGATATGAACAGAAATAATTTTATGAAATAGTTACGTGAAACATTAATACCTAATTTAAGTGGTACCACTCAGCTGGAGTGGTATTGTTATGGACAACGCTAGCTACCATGTAAAACAAATAAATAAGCCACCATCTATGAATGATTTAAAGGCTGACATTCAGAAATGGCTAACTGAAAAAGGAATCCATTTTGAAGAATTTTTATGAGCTTATGGGCCTTGTGAATGAAAATAAAACAACTCTAATATATGAAGCTGAAGAATGTTTGAAACAACATGAGCATGAAGTTTTGAAACTTCCCAAACCACCATATCTTTGAGACCTGAACACTATTGAATTCATATGGAGTTTAGCTAAATGAAAAATAGCCAGCAAAAATTTAGGGATTCCAGGTAATTAAATGAAGAACCTTATAAAAATAATGTTTTAATAGTGTCACAGTCAATGATTGGAAAAAATGCACAGATCACACTATTAGTGTTGAAAAGCAATATAAAGAAAGAAACAGGATATCCGAAACTGAGTTGGAACCATTCATCATTTCTGTGCGTAATGATGATACTAACAGTGATTTCTCATATGAAGGCATTGAATTTCTTTATTCTGATTGTGATAAATACTTACATTGAAAGGTTTTTTTTATTTATTTCAAAAATTTTTGTTTTTAAAAAAGAAATCAAGTATCAATAAGTTCTTAGCGTGCTATATCAGTGTTGACACCTGAAAGATTTTTGAATTTGCCGCCTTTTTCATGGGACTAGACTCGCTTGACAGATTATGTCGCGAAGTCATCTCTGACTGTATGTCTGGCATTCCCTTGCCATTTACAATTTGGTGAGTGACATGCTTGTAGAATTTCTAACTACTTTAGACTGTGAGCTCAATTTGTGTGTGCAAGTAGTTTCTCAGGTCAAAAATATTTTTATGACTTTTCAATACAATATGTTATTAAAACATAACCATACTTTCATTCATTAATTTGTCGATATAAGTAATTTTTGATGATTTTCTGGCCGACTTTTCAGAAATAAATAAATAATTTCACACAACTGAAACATCACCTACGGGATAATTTCGCGATTAAATAAAAAGTTCATACATAAAGGAAAGTATCGTTTTTGACATTTCAATAAAAATGTTGAATTTGAGTAGTTGGAAACTATCAATTGTTTTTTTTTTGTACATTTTCATCATACTAGCGATTGGCGAGCGTAGGTACTCGGCGGCTGCACAACAAATAGTCATGGCTGGGTAGCGTGGAGGTCGCGGGCGCGTGCTACATATTAGGCGTCTTTATGGATATGTGTATACTTATAGCACATTAAAAACATGATTATGTTGGTTAAAAAATTACCTACGACGTTCGTAAGATATCTATGTCATACTCATATCATATCTGGCATAAAATTCACACAGGTTAATTGTCAATGTATTGTTTTTTAGGATATTTCTCTAGACAATAACACTATTTTTAAAACGCGATGTCAATGTCATCTAGCCGCCATATTTCAGCGCCATTTTGAGAACAGAATTGGCCACAACGATTTTGGAACATTATAAAAATGTTATAAAATCTAGCTTCCTATTTTTGCTTACAAAATGTCTACTATAACATTAACATACCTTATTGTTTTATTTTCAAAGTCTTTGTACTTATAAGGTGAACTTCTGGCTCAAGTTTTCTGTCTGCTGCCTATCCTGATTCTCCGCAGCGTGTTAATGATCATATACCTTGAGAAGAACACGTAGAGGTAACGGAACCAAACCATTTGCGAACGATGTCTCTTCATTGCTCGAACTATGCGCCGACTCTCAGTCCAACGTAAAAAGTGGAATCTATAAAATAGAAAAAAAAATTAACTTACATGTAAGGTAAAAATGTTAACTTGCATACTTGAATGTGTGGCCCGGACGTTAAGGTTAACCCTTATGCATCTCATGCATAAGGGTTCGAAACCTGGCAAGTAGCAATGTAACTATTTCCGAGTTATAAGTACTTTCTATGATTATTTCGACCCCACTGACATCATCATCATCATCATCATCACTATCAGCCTGTTGTCGTCCACTGCTGAACATAGGCCTCCCCAATTGCACGCCACTGAGCTCGATGTTCAGCTCTTCTCATCCAACCACTGCCAGTCACCCTGCGGATGTCGTCAGTCCACCTAGCTGGAGGGCGCCCTACACTACGTTTGCCTAGACGTGGTCTCCACTCTAGAACACGTTAACCCCAGTGGTCACCGGTTCTTCGACAGATGTGACCTGCCCACTGCCACTTCAGTTTGCTAATCCTTTGGGCTATGTCGATAACTTTAGTTCTCTATCGGATCACCTCGTTTCGAATTGTGAAAGATATGACATACGTTGAAGGTAAACATCGTGGGGAAATCTAGACTTATAATTTCTTATTAAAAGTTTGAAATCGCCAACCCGCATTGAGCAAGCGTGGTGATTAATGCTCTAACCTTCTTCGTATGAGAAGAGGCCTTTGCTCAGCAGTGGGCACTTATAGGCTGATGATGATGATGACATATAAGGATGCATGTAAGATCACTTATATATGCATAGTATTTTTTTTTATTGCAGGCAAATATGAGCAATTTTTTTTTCAAGTGATACGAGCAAACGAGCAATCGTAGTATCCGATGGTAAGCAACAGGCGTCGCCCATGGACATCCGCTGTAACGGAGAAGAGTTGCCGACTTTTTGGGTGATTAGGGATTTGGAGATTTTGTCTGTCTCTTAAGTTGGTTGTCGAGGCTTTTGGAGACTATCAACTCATTAGGCGTAACAACTATCAGTACGATGATAGCCGAGTCCACACGCCTCATGTAGACAACATCGTGAGCTAAGTTTGGATATTTATTTGTTTATCTTTCACAAGTTTTTTTTATGGAATAGGAGGCAAACAAGAAGACCTAGCACTTGATGGTAAGTGATCGGCGCCGCCCATGGACACCTTGAAAACTACAGGGGTAGCAGGCATGTTGCCAAGCGCGTTGCCGGCCTTTTAAAAAGGAGTTAGCTCGATTCTTGAGGGTTTGATCGTCGTATCAGGTTTTTGCTATTTCAATTCATTACAAATTAAATCTTTTTACTCACCTCTTAGAAGACAACAGGAAACTAAGTGGTAGGTCCAGGAATCCAATGTATTTCCTGAACATATTCACTGTATCTAGTGTGTACACAGTACATTCTGAAAAATAAAAAACAATGTTTAAGACCACATAATATTTTATGATAGGAAATAAACAACTAGCATGATACTGAGCGGGAGCGCATGACGTCTGCACGTAAACTTGCGATTACCGCATATGGCCCAGATTTTCGTAGCATATGCTAGTTTAATGATAGGTCAGGTGAACGCAGTCACACGGTGTGTGCATTCCCAGCTTCCTTTATGGTAAAACTATGCAAATGATCCCTGACACTCAAAATTTCAGCAATGTATTTGCAACTACTCTTATGCTGTGGGTGTCTTGTATGTAGTGAAGAAAAATTAGAAATCGGTTGTTAATTGAATCAGTAAAAGCAATATTGATTACTCTGGAAAATTACAAGACTGTATCTTGTAAAGATACTTAGGTTTATGTATTAGATAAGAAAGAAAATCTTATGAAAAATATCTCTAATAAATGTTCATTATTATCTGTTGGCTTTCTACATAACTTTGCTTTAGGCAGGCATTTTTCAAAAAAGTTTTGGTACCATAGGCAGGCATTCCTCTATTTACATATGGTAACCCTACTTGTAGAGCACTGATTGGTTACCATGAGGTAATATGTTTGTTTGTAGCATCACCCCATAAAAAAGAATAAATATTATCAATTACTTACTTTGTGGTACCAACTTCTTCATAAACATATAACCAATAGCATGGAACAGAGCAATGTGGTTGGCATGTCCGGAAACACCTCTTTGATCAAATGTAACGAGGGTGTCAATGTCCATGGACTCTATGTGGTAATGAATAAGCTTAGCCAATACACGTATTGGCCAATGAATCTTAGGATTGTCTTGCAGTCTATCATCCATTATTAAACATATGTTCTCATCTGGGACACCAAGCTCATTGCAAGCATCCCATAGCTCCTTCCGTCTCAAACGGCCTTTGCCTTCATAATTACCTGAAAAAAATAATTATGTACTTAACTGAAAAATAATGTACATAAGATGGAAAAAGAAATACAAAATTGTCACAATTTAAGGACCCTGTTGGGAAATCGGAAATATCAAGCTTCATTGGCTTGCTTTTATTAGAAGAGAAGAATAAAGTCTAGTACCATACGCTTAGAGGCACCATGAGCCGTGCAGAAAACAAAAAAAAATTAGGTTATCTATAAATGCAGCAATAGGGAATTGATGCTATTATAGATACCTTGTAAATATGAATGGAATACTACATTTTAAAGGTTAACTAATGTCACATACCATTAGATAAGCACAGCACATGCACGTCAGCACCCTGCTCGCACAATCTAAAGATTGTGGGCCCGAAAAACATGCATTCGTCATCCGGGTGCGCTACTACGACCAGCACTCTCTTCGCGCCTAAATCTCCTCGACTCTTTGTCTGTGGCCGTCTTGCATACCGCCGATACACCACAAAACTCACCAACACATATATACACAGCCATAAGCTTATATAAAGAGCGAAATTTTTAAAATACAACAACAATTCCTCAATGATTATCACGTATAAGTTGTAGAAAAACTCTATATCATATGGCAGGTCACTAAGTAACATTTCTGACTAGAACCACAAAACATATATACTTCTAACGAAGATAACTAATGCAACTATCGGTCGTCACGATAAATATAAATATTTCATATTTGTCATGCGTTCTATTTATTTATAAGCATTTAATTATTTTTTCCTTGAAATACAACTGAATCTCAACAACGCGGTCGAGTGTACCAAAGAGTATGGAGCTACTGCCAGTGTCAATGTCAATTTAAGTCAATTGTCAATAACACAATTAGTAGTGTGGTAACGGAAAACAATAACTGTGAGAACCATGGATTAAACACAATGAGAACCTAAACAAAACTAATAAAAAGTGAGTAATCGTCAAAGTTTAACTATACTAAGTGGTCGTTTGTTGTTAATGACTGCCAAGACAGCAAAATTGGATTGGTTATAAAACTGTTTATGTATCCTTTCGGAAGCACAAGGATTAACTAACTAAATTGAACGCAGCTTTTAGAAAAGTTTGACTGATTGACATTGTACTACTGTCAATTTTATTATTCATTGTTGTTGCCTGCTGATGGCTATTATTTCCAATTTACAAATATCGCAATTTTATTTATAGTTCTGTGATTGTGAATTTGTGATATCAAGATGATACAACCAGATTATCCTTCAACTCTGGGCTTACTAGCTCACCTAAACTCGGACGAACTTAAAGAAATGTTAAATGACGACACCAAATTCGACAGTGTTTTAAAAGACGTAAAACAGGTAAAAATACGGAAATAAATTGATGTATTTATACATTTCGTATCTAATTTAGATATTTTACTGATTCTTTGTTGGTAAATATAAAATTCATTGACTTAATAAACAATTAAAAAGTATGAGTCATTATTTAAATAACAAAGGGCGGCGTTCACAAATTTTTAATAATTAAGAAACCTGCTTTGTTTTCGTACATGAAATATAATCTAAAGTTTTTATATTCTAAAATTAAAGCAAGTTATTAGCAACCTTATAAGAAAACTATTACAATATTTTTCTCTTACCAGGTGAAAGATTGGGAAACAGAACGAGAGATGACTATAGCAAGCAATAGATCCTTAGCCGAGTTTAATTTGAGCAAAGAGCCGGAACTGGAGGAGGCGAAGGCAGCAGTTTTGGAAAAATCAGAAATGGGAGAACAGCTGTGCACTCGCATCCAGGACTTATTGGAAGAATACAGTGAGTATTGTTTATTAACGTCATATAATGTGTCTTGTGTGGTTCCATAAGTAATTAGATGGGCCGAGATAATATCAATCCAAAATATGTTTAACATGGAAAAGTACAGCATGGCACAATTTATAACTAAATCATGATGCCAAATTATATTGTATAAAAAACATTATTATGCGAAGCAAACAGGCCCAGTTCTTTTTATGTTTACGCAGTGATGTGTGGTACTTATTTGATAGTATGAATTCTTTTTTATTTCATCAGAAACAAAATCAGCTGGCATATCTCCAGACACAACTCAAGCTCTTCTACAGACAGCGGCAGCAGAATCTGAGGAACAATCAGAGAATCTTGCACAAGATTTCCTATCAGGGAAGATACCAGTTGAAAAGTTTCTTGAAGACTTTGAACCAGCTCGCAAAAACATGCACTTACGGAAATTCAAGGCTGAGAAAATGGCTGAACTACTCCGATCTGGCAGTCAAAGCTCCTTTGGTAATGGCTTCTCAAAGCCATACTTACCATATCCAAGTTACGGCCAACAAGGACCGCCAAGCGTGCCATATCCCATGGGACCACTCAACATGCCCATGCCAGGAATGTATGGCAATCACTTTTAAACTCAATGTGTTCATTGAAATTATTTCCTATAGATTATAATTTTTTTATTTGAAAATATGAATATGAATCAAATATTGTTTATAAAGATTTGTTGTGCCAATGTCGGCATCAATTTAAAATATCTTTGTCATGTAAAAGTTTTATTCTATTGATTGATAGTCAGTCAACAATATTTGATTGACTGGTTGATAACCTATAAACGTGTCGTAAATACCTAGTTTTTATTTGAGTGACACGGTTTTTATTGTTTGTGGAATGTGAACAATTTCAAATTCAAATCTGATATTGTAAGTAGGACATTATAAATTTCCACATTGTCTCATTATTTAAATGTTTTGCCCATTCGAACAAAACGGGAATATTGTGAAAAATGCTTTTAATTTAATTTTATTATTTTCTCATATTGTATCTTTTTTTAGGATAGCAACAGTTATAAAATGTTAAATATAAATCAATATTCAAGGATTTGTTTATTTCTTATAATCAATGTGTACTTGTTGACAACAAATCAGTTTATACATATAAATATAATTACAAGGATTCCTCAGTCCTTTTCCCTTGTCTGAATGTAAAGATCATATTGCACTTCTCTAGAAATAGATAAATGTTTACTAAATTGCACCAATAGATTAAAAATCGTCTTACTGTATAATAGTCAATGAATACAACAATCTACTTTTTGATTGATAGATTGATCAATCGTTTATTGGTTGTTACTTGTACACTAATAAATAGTCAGAATCATAAATGTTATTAAATTTGTTATAGCTGTCTGTATTTGATGTTTACCAGCCAGAAAGTAATAATTTAGATCAATAGTTTCCATAAAAACTAATGTGATGACTAATGCGTGTGCCTAAAGATCAGTTGACTGGAATCTTGCAAGCATTCGTTTAGATAAATGTAGTGCTTATCGTAAATAAACAACTATATGATTGAGATTTTTGAATAACATTAAGCACTCCATAATTTGTTTTAGTTTGAAAAACTGTATCATGTTTCAATGTGTTTAAATTTAAGTGACATGTCAATTCTACTTGTGTAAATATTCATTGTTATAGGTATTTTGCTCTGAATTTATGATCAAAGCTTTTATTATTTATTGGGTTGATTGTCCACAAATAGATTGATCAATATTATAACAGAATCACATGACAGTAAATTCAGTATAAATAATAATCGCGTAAAGTGGACATTTTAAATATTTACCCAACTTCAAAAAGGGTGATTTTCATTAGTTTGTTCATTGGTTATTTGAAACGTAAACTGTCCGCTTGGTGTTGGTGCTTAGTAGAAGGAAATGTGATTATAACAATTATATGAATTATTCGTCTATTAGTGATACATAGTTAATTAAATACATGCAATTTTGCTCGGCCATAGCCTTGTGTCTTTTTTCTACCCCAACAAACCCTATCATGAACATAATAATAATGTGGTCATACATTTATGAAGGGCGGAGTAGACTAATATGGTCAATTGTTTACTGGCTTTTTTTTTGTGAGGGGAAAATCATCAAATGACTTCTCCTTCGTGCTCCCACACGCGGGCTGCCTTCCTCTTTGCGAGCATAATATGCTATAATATATATGCTGCTATAATAGCGTGCCCGGCCCTCGGTAGCAACAGTCGCTGCTTCTACTCAGCCATGAGATCTCGCCGTAGCTCATTCTGCCACGCACTAAATTCGCGTCGCGGCGACGCGCGTCTGCGTGCAAATTGTAGACGCGCGCGAGCGCCTTCGCTTCCAGATCCCACGGGGGTGATCCGGCAAGGAGGTTCGCCGCCTCACCGGAGATCGTGTGATATCCGCGGATTATCCGGATAATTGTTTACTGGCTGACATAACTATTTTGCAAAATAGTTCGATTTGTTTCAGGACACGTTAAGGGATCATTTTCATGAGCAGCAATGCGCGGCACACGAGACTACTTGAGTATACGCGCCCGGCGTGGTCTCAGCCGTGACTCGCACGCACTGTGCTCTACAACGCGCCAAAAGCGGTAGAGTCAGTACATAAAGCCAGAACTAAATACATTCCGGTGGTTTGGCGTTGTCGCACAGACGCAAACTTATCGGTCACTTACCTACATTTTTTATGTCATAGGTCGTTAAACGAGTAGACGTATTACCTGATGGTAAGCAATCAGCCTTGCCGATGGACACTCGTCGTTCCAATGAAGTTAGTAGTGCGTTACCGGGCTATTGTAGGTTATTAAGGATAGAAGATTTGAGGATTAAGGATGGAGGGAAGAATTGGGGTTCCGGTAACCTCACTCACACGGCGACACGAGTGTTGCTTCACGTCAGTTCTCTGTGAGGCCGTGGTATCACTCCGGTCGAGCCGACCATTCGTGCCGAAGCATGGCTCTCCCACAATTATACACTTATGCATAGGTAGTGTGTCTCGCAGATTTTGGAAATTCTTGAGCTATCTGGACCACAGGGCGGGGCAACGGTCTGAGGATTACATGCGCGCTCATTGTTTCACAGATTCGACAAATTGCATCGAACATTTCACGCTCGAACGGCAATCTTTATAAAATTTGCGCCTACGTTAGTTACGACTACGACGATGCCACGATGAAAAAGTAGGTATTTTACTAATAAGTTGACATTAAATCTTATGTTTTATTGTTTGTTATCTTTCTGTTTAGACATTATAAAGGCCTTTATTAACTCGTATCTAAGCCTGCTTCGCAATACTAATATGATGAATACGTATTTATTAAATTTGAATATTTCGGATGCAGTATGATGGATTTTTTATCTTGAATTGATCAATTCAAGCATTTACATAACATGGCGCTAATTTTGGGAAGGGTGTGGGGCTTATTTTTTGTCGTGAGGGCCAGCGTTATTGTGCTCATCAGATTACGCAAGACGTTGACAGCATATATGTATCCAATCTTTCTCTTATAAATAAACCATTCAATAGTATGAAACTGGTTTTCAGTTATACAAATAGGACCTCGCGCTACATTTGCGCCATCTGGTAAACTAAATAACGTTTTAGTTGTCGTTTCATTATTTTGCTACTAGGTAGGTATTCGAAATGGGTAACTATGCATAGAAATGCAGACTCCAAACTCCGATTTATGCAGATTTTTGTCACCTATTATTATTTCCATTTAGGGAACCGTCCTCCAGACATCCTCTTGAGTGGCTTCAGCGTGGTCTCTTATGCTGGTGCTAGCGAAGGGAAGGTATCAGGCGGCAGTCGACGTGATGTCACGAGCGGTTGTGACACTCGTTGCAAAGAACTCGCAGCTACCACCCAAGGTGGCGCTCCGCACACCCCTTGCGTAATTTAAACTAAAAAAAACGATATTTGCCTCCAAGTACCTAGCATATTTTATGATTTGCTGACGTCAAACTAGTGGTGTCGACATTTTCCTATATGCCGTATACCGCATATAATATGCGGTATTATTATGCCCACTGCTAAACAAAGACCTTTGTCAAACGGAGAAGGTTTAAGTTTAAACGAGTTTGAATTTATTGAACCAACAAAAACTTCAAACTGCGATAAGTCTGTTAAAATAGCAACATTAAGAGTCTACAACTGTTACCATGACGAATCTATCAGTTAAGTAACGTAACCATTTAACACCATATTAATATGTATCTAACTAATATAAAGTACTGATTTAATAGAATAATTTGCTTTTTCAATAGTACTACAAATCCATAATTTTTTAGTCAAATTATGTGAAACACGGAAGAATCTATGTTTTCAATAATTACAACAAAATCATAAAATTGTAAAATCTTAAGAGGACAAACCGAGTAAGGCGCGGAATTTTAATTATTTATTTTTATTTTGTCTGTGGCAGTTATTGCAGGCATAATTTGAGTTTTACTACGTTTGGATATCATTCCAGAGTCAAGTAGTAGAGACAATTAATTATTATTTTATATGTAGCAATTGTCAGACATCATAAAATATAAGAGTCGTTTCAAAGCAATCTGAAGGTGCAAAGTTATTAAAATAATAAAATTTCATAACATGAAACCGCTTTATGCTATTTAATAATGTTTAACTGTCATTGTCATTTGCATCTGGCAGTTTTCTTGTCTGTATCCGAACACACAATTCTTTAATCTCTGGCCTTTTTTTAATATGGCGGAAGCACTGACCGCCGTTCGGACGTCTGCATTTTTTATTATCGTGAAGTAAGAAGTGTCTCGCTAAAATTTCATAAGTGTGTGAAATAAAAGTGTTATATTAAAACTGTGAATTATATACGTTTATACCAGAGTTATTGATTAGCTGCAAATCGCCCTATTCATCTAAAAAAATGGTAATGATAGTTTTTTGTTTTGATACTTTTTACAAACTTTACTTAGCTGAAAAATGTGTTTTTTTCGTTTTTCATTTAAATGCTATCAAATTTACTAGGATTAATTTATCGTTGTAATGCTGCTTGTTACGAAGGTCATAAAAACAGGACTTTTTCCTTTTTTTTTCTTTGTTTTCAATTTTTCTAACCAAAAAAAACTGTCATAAGGTGATGTCGATCTCACATGTGTTATTATTTCAATGTTTCTTTGTTAGATATCTAATTTGATCATGTTCTCGGGGTGTTAATTATTCAAGCTGGGTGTGGCTGTATTGATTTTCTTGGAAGGTTCTAGGTATAGTGTTAGAATACGTCTTGAAGTACTGCACTGTGCCTATGTCTAGCACACTGCTACAATGCGGTGTTAACGCATCGAGATCGATGATTTCTTCGGTTTGGACAATGCAAACGCCTTTATTTACTCGTATCTAGGCCTGCTTCATAATACTAATATAATAAATACGTATTTACAAGATTTGAATGCAGTATGATGGAATTTTTAGAATTGCTCAATCCATGCATTTACTTATCATGGTGGAAAGTAAAATAGTCATAAAAAGAGCATTATAAAACATGTTATCAGTTATGTAAGGTTTTTTTACTGTATTTTGGTGCTTTTGCCAACTATAGGTAATGTAATAATTCAGACTGTGCCAAGACTTATGTTATTCTGGTTACTCTTAAATGTTGTCTATGATATTTTTATCCCTCTTTTTTGTAATTTCTTGTTGATTGCTATGAACCTTTGTGTACAATTGAAGTATATTATAAAAAACATAACACATAGTATTAAAAAAGTTGCTAAACCAGCAAAAATGGCCCAAAATAAACTACCATGTGTATTTTTTTTTGTTTTATATTGATAACATATATTGCAAATAAAATTACATCCAAGTACTCAGTTTATGAGAAACATGATCAGGCTTTTAAACATTATTAATTATGTTAAGTGAAAAACATATTAATATTAATGTAATTTAAGTAAAATGAAAGATGACATTTAGATAATAACTTATCCAAACAAAGTCAAGGCCTTATAAATATGAATTCTATCGCTATTGTTGTTACAGTATTATTATTCTTTGGAAATACATTTATGTGTATTGAAAATGCCTCTTAAAATGCAATTTTTGACTTAGCGGGGATGTTGGAAGTTGTCATGTGTGTGTGTATGATGGTGTGCTCTAGACTAGAAAATGACCTAGGTATGTTACACGTAACATAACTAGGTCATTTCAACCAAAATATTTCATACAAAACTCAAATTTCTCATGTTTTTATTGAACTTTTAAAACAACTTAAGTGATCATAATCATGCAAACTGACACTTGCATGCCTGTCTTGAGAACAGGTCCACTTAAACTAGTGTGGTTCTTTCCTCAAAAGGCTACTACAGAATGAACTTGCATGGTTCTCTCACATTATGTTATTTTTACATTGTCTGGACTTGTAAAGAGACTGACCTCTGAGTGTGTTTCGGCATTTCTTCTCAGAGTAGTCAGATAGGAAATGGTGGCTTCATCTAGTTTTTCACATATAAATTGACGTGTAAAAGTGCTGATTTGTGGCCTATTTGCAAAAATAAATGCATTGTTTCATGTCTGTTTTCATAATTACTTTTTTTAGTAATTAGAAAAGCAATGTGGTAATCTTTTAAGGCTTTTAATGCACTTGTACCCTTTGTCTATGGGCAGCACCAATTCAATCAAGTACTTTATCTGCTTGTATAACAACCTCTTCTGTACAGCAGCTACCAAATTTACCTAACAATGTATAGCTTCTGAAGGATTATTATGAAGAATATAAGTCATTTCTATTTCAAATAAAAATGGAGGTCAACTCACTTATTTTATTTTGTCAAGGTCATTTCTGTTATTATAATTATTATAATCATGAATGTATTTTACATCAAATACATCAATACTATCATATAAATACATTCAAAATTACTGGATATTCATAAATACCAAATTTTGCATGCTTTACTATGTTTAATTTATTGTTTATATTTATGACTTTCATATTGGTTTAAATCGTATTATGTTCTAAAGAGATAGAAACTGTACAGAACCTCTTAAATCATAATATTGTTTCATGAACCTGGTTTTCCAGGCTGTGCAAAATAAGTCCATGCAGATGCAGATGACTGCAATGTCTTTTGTTTTCCATTTGTGTCTAGCATTTACAGAAACTAAATGAACAACCAAGATTTGTATACAAAAAAATACCATGCACTAAATATTAAAAAAATATTACTTAATTAATCTATTAGATACCTAGTTAAGTAGCAACTATGTAATGTCATAAGCAAACTACATTAGCTAATTATGTACTTAAATCCACCACATACTTAAATGTTAAAATACCTAGTTAATAACAGGTTTGTTAATGTCTGGACAGTTTTTTTTAGCTTTAAATATCTCTCAAAAGTAATATTAACAACAAATGTATGATTTGGTGATTGCAAAATTTCAATTTTTTTTATTTGATAATAATAGTATTCATTGATAATATATAATGGTATGGCACATATTTTTATTAGCCTTCAATTGCCTGTTGGAATTCCCCGAATATATTTAATGAGGGTGAATCATCAGTCAGCAACACAACTAAAAGAGCAGATATTGATGTCATTAAATATATTCTAGTAATTTACTTATGGATGTTTAAAATCTAAGACTTCAATTAACTTATTAGTAATTACATTTAATTTTGTGAACTGTGCTCAGCTTATAACTTATAAGGCTTAAATTCAAATGTTGCTTTCAGATTTTCTTCTCTATTTAGAGATTAATTATTATGTGCAATATTGACTAATAGAAAATTATTAGGTTCTTAAGAAAGTACATCCATATCAGCTAATATAATGGGCAAACTATTTTGAAAAAAAAATGCCATATGTTTATCAAAAATGCTAGTCATGCAACCAAAAATATAGAGTAGGCATTGTAACTATGCTGGGACGAAAATGACCTTCAACTATTTCTAGCAAGAAAGAAGCCAAGGTCAATAATAGTCCTAGCTCTTGAATTCTATTTTGTCAAGGTTATTGCCTCGATAATGAGATTAATTTTTGATGAAATATAATTTAGAGTTACAGAACAAACAGAAAGATAAAAGTCCTACCACAGACACATTTTAATCTATTGAAGTAATGCATTGTTTTTACTCCACGGTTTTAAGTACAATGATTGAGAAGTAAATATAGTTATAGATAATCCAAATCAAATTGAGTAAAAAACTAGTTGCTGATAACAGTGTTACTGCAGCAGTTCTAATACACTTTAATATTATATTTTTTAATTCTTAACTTTCTTTTTGTGCCCATTAAACTATAAAGTCCTTAAATTTGCATTATAATGTTGTATTATTTGTTATTTTAGTCTAAACGGTCCGCATATGATGACGAGGACAATCCGCCGACGCCTTCTGACGACTCAGACTTTGATGATGACGAGGATCCTGATAATTTGGAAGTGCCAGGTGAGTGCTTTTACTAAACAACTTATTTTAAGAGACCCGTTTTGACTTAAAACTACGAGTTGTAGAGCTTTTCTTTGTTAATTCAAGTGAGTACGCCGTTAATTTTAATAAATTGAGTAATGGGGAAGCTCTTTGTGGCCCCGAGTTTAGGGCGCCCGCTCATCGTGCGTGAGGGTGTGGGTTCGAAACCTGGCAAGTACTAATGTGACTTTTTCAGAGTTATATGTACTTTCTATGATTATTTAGACATCACAGACTCACAGATTTGAAATCGCCAATCCGCATTGAGCAAGCGTGGTGATTTATGCTTAAACCTTCTCCGTGTGGGAAGAGGCCTTTGCTCAGCAGTGGCACTTATAGGCTGATGATGATGATGATGGGGAAACAGAATTTATGTTGAATAGAATTCGAGGGGCGAATAAACACAGAAGAGGAGTGAATATATACGAGGAAAATTCACCAAAATCTATTCATCCCTTTCGTGCATCTATTCACCCCTCAAATTCTATGGTAAGGTTTTACGGAATGTCTCACAATAATGACTATTGAAAAAAAGTTTTGAATGTATGCTTAGTTGGTCGCTTGTTTCTAGACTAACATAGGACTTCGCTGTTCGAAATTCGCGTTCTTCAGGTCCAGGTTAGAGGATTTGCCTTAGTCTCCACGCATGGCAGGCGGGTATCTTCGTGAACTCTGCCCGATCTCTCTGAAGTTTTTAGTTCCCTTAGTCTTAGTATTTTCGACATACAAATTATTCAACATCCCTGATCATGGTAAAATAAGGGGTGTTGCTGGTAACAGACGTGTTTTACTTTGCCATTTTTTTATGGTATAAGTCGGCAAACGAGCAGACGGATTACCTGATGGTAAGCAATTGGCGCCACACATGGACACCTGCAACACCAAATGAGTTTCGAGTGCGTTGCCGACCTTTTGGGGATAGGGGTTGTGGATATAAGGATCGGGAAGGGATAGATAACCTCACTCACACGGCGAAACACAACAGCACCATCTACACGCTGTGGCCTTGCGCAACTCAATATTATAGTTAAGTGCATTACAATGAAATACACATAGGTGAGCTTGTTTACTTTTCTCAGACAGTTATAAGAAACAGCAACATTTTTATTGAAATTAATGTAAAAATGTAAATGTATTCTTATGTTGAATATCACTCAAGGGTGCATTATTATGTATGTATTACGGTGACATTGGGATATTCATGTGTGTGGAAGATTCGTTTTTTATTTAGTCTATGTTGCTACTGTGTTGATATAGGTCCAGGTGATATGAATTTTTAAAATTTGTTTTTGTATGTGGAATGTTGAACAAATTTTCGTGCAATTGAAGCAAGTACTTATATTTGCTCATAAACAAGACCCATTAATTTTTTTGTGAATAACCATGGTGTTTGGTGACTACGCTTCTCCCTGTTGTGCCGTTTTTTCGCCTTTAAGGCTCTCACTAGTTCAGTATCCTGGCTTCAGCGAGCGAAACTATTTCTTTTTGCTTCTCCTGTAATAATATCTTTTGATTTATTTCAATGCGGAATCAAAGACCAATATTCATGTCCCTAGTCATAGTCCCGACTTTTTTTTTCTTTCCGTGGTTGTATCTATCTATAAATTTACAATATTTTTGTTTGTGTGCATGTCGCACACAATTAAAAATATTGCAATTATTTATTTTTAATCAGTGGTTCATCCTGAAATGGAATAAACGCGAGAACGTAAAAATGGCGGGAAAAGAAAGTTGAGAAGAAAAAGTTTATCTTTTAAAATATCCAATTATACAAATTATCTCGATCTTTGTGAAATGTTAAGAGAAAAGAACATCATGAGCGTAATAAAGAAGTAATTATACTTCCACGCACATGTACCTAGCCCTAAATTTTTCGTAATGTTATTGAACTTTGCAAAGGTTCCTAAAGTCTTCCCACCATGTTTGTTTTTTCTCAATAAATGGTCTCACCAACTCGAGCAGTCTTTTTACCCGATTGTATTGAGAAATAAACTCGGGTAAAAAAAACGCGTCATACAGTTAGCCATAAGTACATAGAAGTACTTACCTACCATAAAAAAGAACAAAAGTAGGGATTCTTCCCGACATAACTGTTACACGTTGACGAAAATCACTTTCCGGCAATAGTTAGTGTCATTGTAAAAGGACTGTCAACAAAACGGGCCTCCATTATTGGCCTATTCATCCTTGTGTATTGTATAATGTATACTTACACAAGAATTATCCTGGATTTGCTTTGAAATTGACTCGCCAACATGCCAACCTTTTTTTTGAGGAGGTAAAATCATTAATGGGTTCCCTCGCCTAGGGTATAGCGAGAGGGAGTGTAAGACTATTACTGACTAAGAATCTCCCCCATTCCTTCTCCTGCTGTAGGTTGCGGCAGCGGTACCTTATACATGACAAGCTGACCTCTCAGTTTTGATACCCGGATCAAGTTGCGTTCTTTTATTTTTTCGTTTTTGAAACTAGTCACCGGTTTAAGGCGGCCAGACCTATTTTACGACAGTATTTTAGTTAATAAGTTAAGTATGTACGTTCACGTGATAAATTGGTACAGAAATACCATTGATGACTAGATTTGACCTTATTTTTGTTGATGGTGTCTCCCAGGTGTCCATAAGTACTTATAAATAAGGGCCACGTGTCGTGTCTATCAATCGGAGCGCTGTATTGAACTCCCTATTCAAATAACCGAGTCAATAGTTGAGCAGTTATAAAATAGAACGTGTTTTAAATATTTTTCTATTCCCGCACGTAACAATTCTGTGTATAGAATCGAATTATTGTTCCAAATTTGCTATATATGTGTATTATGTGTAATTAATTACTTAGGTGTTTCTAAACGCACCCGCGATTCTGGAAGAAATCCTAGTATGAATCTTCTTATTGTATAGGTTAATCCTGTTAATTGATTATAGAGAAACACAATGCAATGCAGTCTTTAATAGTAGAAGGCGTTTATTTCTCTCTGACTACATAGTATAAAATAAAGTCGCTTTTTCTGTCCCTATATCCCAATGTATGCTTAAATCTTTAAAACTACGCAAGGGAGTGGACCTCCGATGTTTTATTACTATTGGTAATAAACCAAAGAGGAATGTTACTGATATTTTGTTTCATTATTTAGGAAGTATCGATCAATTTTGTTATTTTTTTATCAGGTGGGGGCAAAACCCTGGCAGCGGCGGCGAGTATGGCAGCCAAGAAGGTTACAGTCACACCGCAAGTCATCGTCAAACCCACCACAAACCCACTTGCAGGTCAGTTTTCATATTTATTCTAATAATTAATTTAATTGCAGGATATTTTGTCAAGTTTATTTCTTATTATCTCTTAAACTACGTAAGTGGTTATACACAAGAAAAGATCGTATTTATCGGTTAAAAAAACGCATCGCAACTGTAACTCCTCTGATTTGGGAGTTCACAGTTTTATGTGGTAAAGAAAGAAGTGTCCTTGTTACTTCTAGTTTTTTTTTGTTGTACAAATGGTTCGGTCGCTCAATTAAATATCATCATCCTCGCAAGTTAAATAGTTTTTTGCAATTTATTTCTGAAGAAACAGATCACGAACCTACATTGTAAGCTTTTTATTACGTTTACAGCGATCACAACTGTCCTTCACATATGAAGGAGACAGCAAGATGTTGAATGAGACAAACACATAGTTCACTCGAGACGTGTATTGAGAATTTCAATCAGAATAAATTGACTCTGTGTCGTAGTATATTCCTCTTTTCCCTGTTCTGTTCGTCAGTTGATCGATGCAACTGTGTCATGTGCGCATTGAAATACAGCTGTTTTTTAAACGGCTTACGAAGAGTTTGATGGTAAAATGCCACATTGTTAATGGTTCCTTTAACTGACCGACTAACCTGACTGCACGGTTGGGGCGGAGGCTGGGCAATTGGCTGCCGTGCAACCTGTCGCGGGTTCGATTCCCGCACAAAACAACACTGTGTGATCCACAAATTGTTGTTTCGGGCCTGGGTGTGTTGTGTATGTGAAATTGAATGTTTGTAAACGCACCCACGACACGGGAGAAATACTAGTGTGGGGTCTAATGTGTTTATTAAACAAAAAAACTGTTTACTTATCAAATTAAGAGATGTTAGTAATGTTGTTTTTAAAAAAATGTTTAAGTCACCAATTATGTTTTACTCATACAGTTTTCTAGAAAAAGAATACCCATTGTTCTACTTATTTCTTTCATTCTATAAAGTATGTGTTCCCAAGAAAAATATACTTTTTAAACATTATTCAATAAACCATTAATACTATTATCCTAATTTACATGTGTATTACGTTCGCAGCACCTTCCGGCCACGCGTTTGGCCAAGTCAGCAATGTGAAGCCTATCAAGATATCGGCTAGCTCTCTCACCAAACCTTTGAACATAGCTAACTTAAGCAGAGCCGGAGGTAAGCATATCTTTCCATTCTTTTATATAAAAACTATAATTAAAGTGACCACTTTACGTTGATACATAGTTGTTGCGTTTGGTCGATAAATATTGGACTTACTGAAGACGGTTGATTTCCCAACACTTTTTAAGTGCCAAATAATATTGAGTCCTGAAGAGAAGCTAATTTTTTTTAATCAATAAGCCTATCATGTGTTTTCACCATCTAAGCATTAAGTTGCTTTAACGAGTACGTCATTGCACTATTTTAAATGAAGCTTATCATGAAGCATCATCCATAGCGTGACATCATTATACGCAGTGTTTTATAATCTGTTATTGTCTCATTAATCTAGAAAATATTATGTAACTTCTACTCCAGAGGTGGGCGAACTGTTATTATTAAAATTCTTGGAAGTAGTATAGATTATGGATTTATGCCCGGTGTTAAACCGATTTGCCCTCCTTTATGAGACCAGCAATCAACATACTACTTATCTGACAAATGTTTTGGTTACTGCAACCAAGACCTTATAATTGGTACCTTTGCCGAAAACATAAAAGCTTGTTTTTAAGTTATTTATTCATAAAATGTGTGCATTGGTTATCATAAAAAATTAATTCATTTATAAAACAAATTCACAAGTACTCGTGTTATCGAAGTTATTATTATTTTATGAGCGCCAAGCGGTTTTACGCTATTGTTGCACAACATTTCCATGTGGAGCCTCTTAAACCTCATACAATCGATTTATAACACCGTGTACCAACTAAACACAACATCTTAACTCTCCCCTGTATATACATACTAGAATCATGCAAATTTGTCCGTAAACACCAAGAGCTGTACACTCAACGAGACGACAACCAATCACGCTATGAACTCAGACCCCGCGCTAAACTAAATATACCTAAGTCTAGTTTAAAAATGCACTCGACAAGTCCCTACGTTATGTCTATTAAATCGTACAATAAACTACCCGCACAAATAAAAAGAGAAATTAATATATTTTTAAAAAAACTTAGACAATTTCTTATAAATAAATGCTACTATTCCATTAACGAATACCTAAATGATAAAAATATATAGACATAAACAGTCACACGCAATACACACACACACACACACACACACACACACACACACACACACACACACACACACACACACACACACACACACACACACACACACACACACACACACACACACACACACACACACACACACACACACTTACAGTGTAGCTTAAGTGATTCAATAAATAATAAAAAAAAAAATTCAAACATAAATATATATAACTTACTTGCCTATATAACCTTAGTGTTAATCAACAAAAATAAGTAACATAGCCGATAAGAGCTTCCTCTCTCCTATCCCACTTACTTTGCTGTGCCCGACAGGGTCCATATGAACTATTTATAAGTACTACCACCTAAGAATACATGTGGAAAGCAATAAAGTATTGAGTATTGAGTATTAAAATACTACATAAGCAAATAGGCAAGTTAGAAAAAAATTATTAAAAAAAAAGTTGACCTTTACTGACAATAGACTGACGGACTATAATTCTATTGTTTTAGACATTTAAAACTATTTGTGATATGATTAAAAAAGAATACATGTTTTTAACTTTGATTCTAATAAGTTACAACCACTGTCGAAATAAATTGAGCAATATATATCTGTTTTAAATATATAGGATAATTCTAACAGTACTCCAAATCTTGATACAGATATTTGGGGAAAATAAAGTATCTTTTTATAAATATAAGAAGATATGTTTTTCCTTATAACCTTTCGATAAGCGTATTAATTACCAAAAATATTTATAGTTCGTCCAATTTGGGATGTTTTTCCTGGAGACTGAAGGGACTGTTTACTTTATGTATCGATTTCATTTGCTTTTTATCCGAATGTGGGACGTATTGTTTATTCCAGTTTTATTAAACATCTATCTAATGGTAAAATAAGTTGGTGTCGCTTAATATTGCCCCTCTATAGCCTGTTTTTCGTGTCGTCGGTGCGTTTACAAACATGCAATTTCACATATACATCACACCCAGACCCGAAACAACTATTTGTGGATCACACAAAGGGTTGTGTGGTGTATCACACAATCACTACAATCCTCAAAACCCCCAACGTACTTGTGATTCCTCTATTGTTACCATCAGGTAGTCAGTACCCGTCTGTTCGATTGCCGCTATATTATGATAAAAAACCACGTACTCAAACACTAGGCATAAATCCAGATGAATGTGTATTGTCCCAACTTGATCATGGTACCATTATATTGTGACGCATGTGATTGAAATATCTAAATTAATGAGACATCTTAGTCAAGTATAAAATCATCATATCTTACCTATGTTACATCAATGAATCGTCAGCTTGATTAAATCGGTGATTTTGCATAGCGCCCGCCGTGGCCCCGCCGTCGCCATTCGCGGCGGGCTCGTCGGCGGCGTACAATGCCGCTTCGCTACTCGCTCAGAGTGAGTACGGTGTAGTGTGCCCGCAATGTAACGCGTATATCGCGATATTATCTCTCTAGGGCTAACGATACGAGATGCATTTTCAATTGAGATTTTAATTTCTCTGTAATAAAGTTCTGTTTTCTTCGACAGCAATTTAGTAGTTGTTGTTGATAATAAATATGTACTCAATGACTGAAAGCATAAAGTCTTATTTTACATAAATAAGATGAATATCTCGACTCGTTAGGCCAAAACTGTATATAAAATATATCTATTCTTACTGATTGTAGTTACTTACTATGCATGCTGATTTTTTTCTTCCTTTTTCTTGCTTGACTCTTGAATGATTTTCTGGCATTGTTCTAGTTGGATGTTTCTCTTCAATAGTTATCTGGAATTCACTTAGAAATCCTACTAATTAGTTTCGAAATTAACAGAATGTTGTATAACATTTTAAGAATGAGAATTTACACTAAACTAGTCTAGTTACACTAACTAAGTTCATATTAGTATATTATTATTCAAAGTCGCTACTGATTTTTATGTTTGTCGAAAAAAGATCAGCATGTATAATTTTGCATCATACTATAGTTAAGTCTGCAGGTGTAGTAAGATTAAAAATATCGATGTAGTTCTATTCTGCTCTGTAATTGGTACATGGGGACTAAACATTAAATTTGTTTTATAGCTTTTTCTCAACTTGTTATGTCAGCCAAGATCAGTTTTAAAGATCCAAAGTTGAATGAAAACAACACGGCTTCTGTTAAAGGCAATTTATTATCATAATTTTAAAGTGTTTTTCTAAAGAATTATATTAACATTAATAAAATCTATAGACTAAAAAACATGGAAAACAATAATTAAACATTGCAAAATAAGCAAAATACTAATAGTCTTATGAAGGTGATCTCATAAGATTATGGAACAATGAAATTTATTCTTATCAGTGCAAAGTAAGCATGGAACGCAAAGATCTCGATCATACTTTTTTGTGAGGGGAAAATCATCAAATGACTTCTCTTGAGTCTCGCCCACTACTGACTAAAACCCCTTGTTCCTTTTCCTGCGTTAGTCCTAGGCCGCGTTACTTAATTGCGCTATTCCCACAACCCCGTCAACCATACTTTGGGCGACCAATCTTCAGACTCTCATAATCAAGACACCAGATAGCAAATCATTTAATTTGTATGTCTTTAGGCGCCATCTAGGATTTGACGCCTGTTCTGTTTAACAATAATTATTCCCACTACACGCAGTGCCTAATAAAGTAACTCTGCATAGTTTCAATAGAAATAGAAATGGTATTGACCAGTGCAATCGATAGTGTGGTGCCTTTAGGCCATTCTAGCCAATAGCTAACTTATTCATGATGTATTGGCCTACCAAGCCTATATAACCTCCTTATATTTTTAGAAGTGACCTCGTTTTCTAGATTGTTCTATATTTCACTTAGCGTATTATTTTGCTGAGTGCTTTTTATATATAGACATTAATTTCTTGCCCTATACACCTTAGGTTAGTGTATTTGGTTCTGCAATTGAGTTTTTTTATTGAATTTTGTCATTGGGAATGTTTGGCTTGCTATCCTTACTACCCCTAATTATTACAAACGTGAAACAAACGTGTTAGATATTTGTTACTCTTTCGCTTAAAAATACAGAATTCATTGCAATTTGGAATGACGCTAATTTGCAATGAAATTAGCAAAACCAAAAAATTTCGTTCCTATACCTATATAAACTGTTTGATAAGTGACATTGTATGTCTATTTGATAATAAACTAAACTATTGCTATTAAACTTTTAAATGTTAATTTAGTGGCGGTACGGAAATTGCCCAGTCAGCTAGTCTTACTTCAAAGTAATAAACAAACAACTTAAGTTTTTTCAAATATAAAAAAAACTACTTTTTGTTTTGAAATATTATATTCTGCCAAGGTAAAAAGCTGTATAACAGTATTTATACTCTTTTAAACGTACAATATTCCTTTTTAGGTTTAGGTTAAGTTTTAGGAAAAAGTCAACGTTTCGCAATAGCCGTAAGGGCGAAACTTAGAAAGCAAGGAAGCTTAACAAATAATTACTTTTGTAACTTCGTAACTTTACAGTTTTGTAAAGATTTATGTGGTAAACAAATTGTATATTTATTTGTTTTTCCCGTTCCTCAAACGTTTTGTTGGTTTCATCATTCTTTTTTCTTAAAGTAGTTCATTATATTTTCAGCATGGTTTTCTAATGGATTATATTTTTTTAATTTTCATCTGTAGTGTATGATGTATATTTTCGTATAGTATGGGTCACAATTTTAATGCATTCGTTTTTTCTATTTCCTCTGGTACTAGAACTTAAATATTTTGGTTGCTTATCTACTGTAGCTTTTGCGAGTAGTAAATTGTAAATATTTGATAGAGAAAATCTAGCAAATTATCGATAGAACATAGATTTTTTAATATTTTTAAGCAGACATGGACTTAATCTATGTATTTATGCTTTATATTAAAACCTTTTTTCTAACATAAGTGTCAAGTTACAAACCAAATCACATGTAAGTGATCATCTAATCCTGTAAATATCTAAAATTAGCAGAGAACTATTGATTTTATAAAAAAATATAGAATCACGCCATCTTCATTTCTAATCTGAAACTATACATAATACAATACATCGCCATCTATCAATAGCAATTAACATTTTTTTCTTCAACAGTGGAGATGGTGGGTATGACGGGAATGAACTCATATTTACTGCAGAACTTGAGCCATATTATACAAAATGGAATGGGTTCGCCATTCTCTGGGATGCTAGGCCAGCTGGGCCAGGTCGCAGGTGGTGTTGCCGGGTGGCCACAGAACAAACCTGGCAATATGTGGCAACAGGAAAAGGTATGTTGGTTTTCTTTTTTTTTTACTGTATGGGGCGTCAAGCGATCATATGACAGTAAGCAATCAGCGCCGCCCTGGACACTTGCAGCTTCATGGGAGTTACAAGTGTGTAGTTTGGGGATTGGGGGGGGGGGATTGAAGATGGGAGGGTGTTAATGTCTTTTCTGGACCTTCGGTAACCTCACTAATGTGCGGCTGGAGAAGACATGGTTGGAGGTGGATCATTGTGTAGCCCAGTTTCTCACGGGTCAACTTGTAGACTTCCCATGGTGCACATGTTCGACAGCGGAACAGCATAAGAGTAGTCTGCCTGTTAAAAAAAGGCGGGCGGCCGGGCTTGTCCCATTAAAACAAAACCTCACTCAGTCTAATAACAAAACACAACCTCAAGAATAGTAACACGACTGCTTTCTGTGATACAGTGAACTGGTTGACCCGGTCCTTTCTTGTCTAAGCATGGCCCTGACTTATACAAAACATTTTTCTATTGCTGCTTTATAGGCTGTAAGAATATATTAAAATGAGCACTTAGAACCTATTCCTAGATTCGACAAACTACAATTGTGCATTCTAAAACCATAAAGCTGTTGCTATGGCAACGGTCTCGCTTGTAATAAAATATATACATCTGCATATTTTGGCTTACTAATAAAGTTATCTTTTTACATAATATTCTAGATGGGCGGCGATGAAGAAGAAGTGGATGATGAAGAAATGGGTGTCGCCGAAACATATGCAGACTATATGCCTACTAAATGTGAGTCACTATACCTACAAGATTAAATATTATGTATTAAGTCGCAATCGTCAGGGTCCGGACGGTCAGAACTTTGACATACGGACCGAGGAAAGTAATGTCGGATATTAGAGCCACCTAGTTTTACGGACAAACACACTGACGGACTATTATTCTATTTTGATGTTTGTAAAGGACCAGCCCCTCGAGCCAAGTCACAAACGGTAAACTTTCAGCAGTCTTTAATCGATTTTCAACTTTATAGTCGTAAGTATAAAGTTGAAAATCTATTGGAGATTACTAAGCGTTCACGTATATCGTTTGCAACTGCTGTTTATAGTTTAGTTGGAATACATGATTGTAACTTAGAGTTTGATTTTATACCACTTCTAAGATTCTTAGTAATTAAACGTTTTTGGATCAAACTTTTAGCTAAATATATTATCATAACAAATTATATAGGTACTTATTATCAGATTACAGAGATCTTTTTTGCATAATATATTGTTTCGTCTCTCTTCTTATCAAAATACCAATAGCATGAGTAGCATTATTTTTTTTATTTAGTTACAGATTGCTGTATAGTTCCCTATTATCCACAGTGAAACTAGGTCGTAAGCACCCCGATCCAGTAGTGGAAACAGCGTCTCTCTCATCCGTGGAGCCGGTAGACGTGACTTACAAACTAAGTCTGCCCGACGAGACCATCCGCAATGGTCTACTGTCTGCCCTGCAATTGGAAGCTGTGGTCTACGCCTCGCAGGCCCATGAACATCTACTCCCTGATGGAACCAGGGCTGGTTTCCTCATTGGTGAGTTTAATTTTGGCGTTGGAGTAGTATTTTTGTTTTGTTGCGTTTTGTGTGGTGGCTAACAAGCAGACGGATTACCTGATGGTAAGCAATCAGCGCCGCCCATGGACATCTGCAACACCAAAGGAGTTAAGAGTGCGTTGCCGACCTTTTGGGGGATTAGGGAAGTATTACTCACGCAGCAAAACACAACTGTGGTTGTTTTGCGCTGGTTTTCTATGAGGCCGTAGTATCACTCCGGTCAAGCCGACATCGCTCACACAACGCTTTTATTAATAATAGGTACTTGCTTGTATCATAGCAATGCTCCTCCATCTCTCCCATATCCCTAACTCCACAAAAGCCTAATCCCACGTTAACAACGCACTCCACGTCCATGGGTGGTGATGATTGCTATCAGGTCATCCGAAGGATTGTTAGCCGTCCTATCACATAAAAAAATACTTCCCTATACTAACATTATGTATCATGTCACAGGTGACGGTGCTGGTGTGGGTAAAGGCCGTACCATCGCTGGCATTATATTCGAGAACTATATCAAGGGCCGCAAGCGCGCCATCTGGGTGTCAGTCTCCAACGACCTCAAGTACGACGCCGAAAGAGATCTCCGAGACATCGGGGCTGGCAAAATTGAGGTCCATCCTCTTAATAAGGTATTGTATAACTGTTCATTCTATTTTAAACTTTATACCAATGATGTAAGTGTGTTCATTGTTATGTTACTGTTTTGTAATAGATCTATTTTGGTACAAGTTCGAGCGTATTAAGAGAGATGGCGCTGTATTAAGTTTTCTATTATCTGAGTATTTTATTACGACACTGAAAACGTAATTTTTAATTTCTTTATAAATTATTGATTAGTAAAGTCCTGTTTCTCTATTCAACAGTTTAAATACGCGAAAATATCGTCTGCTGTAAACGGGAACGTGAAGAAGGGAGTTATATTCAGCACGTACTCGGCGCTTATAGGGGAGACCCAGTCGACCAACACCAAATACCGGACTCGGCTCAAACAACTGCTGCAATGGTGCGGAGACGATTTTGATGGAGTTGTATCCTTTTTACAATGACAATTTTATACTTTATTAACTCGGCCCCGCTTGGCGCGGGTGCAATGCTACCGCATCAAAATCCATTAAGTATACAAGGGATATAGGGAGTTTGGTTTATACTATTTTTTTATGTGGTAGGTCGGCAAACGAGCAAACGGATTACCTGATGGTAAGCAATCAGCGCCGCGCATGGACATGGCCGCAACAGAGGAGTTACGAGTGCGTTGTCGATCTTTTGGGGATTAGGGGATAGGGGGACGGGAAGGGTTGGGCCTCCGATAACCTGATTCACACGACGAAACACAACGCTGTGGTTGTTTCACGCCGGTTTTCTATGAGGCCATGGTATCACTCCGGTCGAGCCGATCCATTTGTTGTTTGAGCATGACTCTCCATAGTTTCTTTCCAAGTTTAAAATGTGTTTATAGAGAAATTATAGAGGCTAGTTAACGTATCGCGATTTTTCGATTGCCGCACTGAACGACCCGTGTTATCCACAAATTCATCCACCCATGAAGTGAAATGTTCTAGTGAGAGACAACCTAGTGGGAGCATTCTTTAGAAAAAAAATGGCTACGGCAAAGGCTAAACGATCGGCACCGCTTACGGACACTCTGTCTGTTACTGGCTTGCTTCTCGCAGAGGATCTTATAAGAATCTCCAGAAACCTTGTTAAACAATGCTGTGGTCGTTTCATGCTGGCATTCTGAGTCCGCGATATCGCTCCGGTCGAGCCGATCCATTAGCTAAACCTACTGATACATGCGGTATTGTTGAGATATGATTTATTATCTTTAGGCGAAAGTTACTCAATCAAATTATGTATGTAATTTTCTACAATAAAATCCTGAACTAAAACTTAAGATTGTATTTGACGAATGTCACAAAGCCAAAAATCTTTGTCCCGTGGGGTCGGGCAAGGCAACGAAGACTGGTTTGACAGCTCTTGAGCTGCAGAATAAGTTGCCCAAGGCAAGAGTAGTGTACGCCTCGGCCACAGGCGCCAGTGAGCCACGCAACATGGCCTATATGGTCAGACTGGGCATCTGGGGAGACGGTACACCATTCCCCACTTTTATGGACTTCATCAATGCTGTTGAAAAAAGGTGAGTGATGTCATTCTTCTTGATTTGGATGTAAAGTTTATTTTTGATCGTTTTCCAATTAAAGGATCGTTAATATCAGGGATGTTAGCAAGCCCCGTAATCGTAACCGAAACTATCGGATATTCGATATAAAAAAATATCCGCAACCGTAACTAAATCCAAAATAAAAATTTCGGACAATATCCGATCGGGGCGGGGCCTAATCAAGACCCATTACGTTTGTATTTGACTTTTGAAATTCCTTAAAATTGTAACCCGAAATTATCTGAAACTAACTGATAATCCAAAATAATTTTATATACAATCCGTATCCGAAATTTCATATCTATAACATCCCTTATTAATATTTTTGTTGAGTTTCGGGTTCCTAGACTGAAGAAAATATGTTTTACATTTTCTTTTAAAGATCAAATATGTGTATTTTTGGTCACATCATATTACATCTATGTCTCATTAGTACTTGAATATTTTTGTTGATTGATCATTCTTTTATACAGGGGTGTAGGTGCTATGGAGATAGTAGCGATGGACATGAAGCTCCGCGGCATGTACATAGCTCGCCAGCTGTCCTTCCACGGCGTATCCTTCAAGATCGAGGAGGTGCCGCTCTCTGACGCGTTCAAGGAGACCTACGATAAAGCCGTGGCACTGGTCAGTTACATATTGAATCTATAATTGAATTCTTGAGTAATGAAGTTAAAATAAATTGTTAGATTAGATATTGTTAAAATATGTTGTGGCTGACTCAAGTTAACTTTTTTCGAGGATCGCTCGTTTAGTTTCGAGTTAGATCGGATCCGTTAAACTTGACATGCCATTACTACAGTCACAAAATTGTGTTTAATTACACCGGATCCGTTAAATTTGATATGCCATTACTAGAATTACAATATCGTGTTTAACAGTCTGTTTTATCTTGTTTTTTAAATATAATTTTGACGTGTAATTGTTTAGCAGTGTTTAATGGCTTATTTACAAAAATAAATTTGTTGTCTCGTATTTAAAGTACATTTCAATCCAATTTTTATTTTGTTAGTGGGTGGAAGCCATGCAACGGTTCACGGAGGCGGCCGAGCTGATCAATGCGGAATCTCGCATGAAGAAGACCATGTGGGGACAGTTCTGGTCTGCGCACCAACGGTTTTTCAAGTACCTGTGTATTGCTGCTAAGGTAAAATATACATTCCTTGTAATTTTTTTTGCAACGTGTTGCTTGTTCCAATCCCGCACGAACTTGCGCTACGACTTTATATTATTGTTTAGTAGCTTCTGCTACGTGGTATGTTGATAAAAAGTAGTCTATGTCCTATTCCGGAGTGTATCTACACTTGTGTGTAATCTTCACTTTGGAACGAGCAAATAGCTTCACTAGAGGACAGACGAACAGAACGAAATGCTTGACGTTGACGACGACGAAAAGTGCAGACTGTGGTGTATTTGAAATAAATGATTTTGACTTTTACTTCGACTTTATCCTATGGCTGTATCAATTTTCATCCAGATCTGTTCATCCGTTTTGGCGTGATTGAGTAAAAAACATCCAAACATCGTAACTTTTGCATTTATAATATAAGTAAGAAGTAAGATGCTGACCCCCCGCAGGTGAACCACGCGGTGGTGACGGCGCGCGAGGCGGTGAAGTGCGGCAAGTGCGTGGTCATCGGGCTGCAGTCCACCGGCGAGGCGCGGACACTCGACCAGCTCGAGCGGGACGACGGCGAGCTCTCCGACTTCGTCTCCACCGCCAAGTTAGTACAACACTACCATCACACGGGCTGAATACTATTTCAAGGGTGAATAGATGCTGTTTGGAGATACACAAAAGGAGTAAAAATATGTTGCCAATTTTTCCTAGTATTTTATCACCCCTCGAATACGATTCACCATTTCTATTTAATATCATAAGTGGGGGAAACCTTTGCTTCCACGAAATTCTTCATGGCTACTAGTTTACTCTTTGTTTAAAGCAAGATAAACAATAATAATTTAGGAACAATGTATTTAGAGTAATATCACAGTATTATTATCTAATCACAATCCATTTCCATTGCATCTGTTAAATTAGTTAACTCCACACACATATATTTGATAACTTAATTTTCTCTACCGGCCTTATCTTACTCAATTCCCTAGCTAAACGGCCCATTGTCTCCAAATTAGATGCATTAGGATTATCCCTAAATAACTTATTTAGCCTTCTAAATTCATCATTTAGTGCCTTGAGGCCATTCATATAACTAGTTTTAAAAGTTTTCATATCAATTCCTATGTCTGTATGACTTTCATTGTCGTTCTCAGTGATTATGTCCAAAGGATCAATGTGTTCTAATTCTTGTTTTATGTGGAAACTTTCGTTGTCTGATGGGGTTTCTTCATAGTCATTCACATCGTCCTCATAATCTAATTCGGATTCTGCCACTTGCTCTATTTTCACCTCCGGTTCTCCAGCTAATGCTGTGTAAAATGCCCTTTTGTCATCAGGCACAGATGTAGCCACTGTAACTTTATGTAATACAGCACATAGATGCTCACATAACATTCCTTTCTTTCCTTTAATACAATCACAGCATAACGTCCTCGCTCCAAAAGCTAAAACACCCATTTTCCTCTTAAATTTTTTGTCTCCTTCCAACTCAGCCAACTTTTTCATCAAAATATTGTCCTTTGGCAAATATTTTGTATAAATTTCAATGATTAATTTGTTTGATAAATGTGCATGCAAGATTTGACACCAATGTTTGTCCAGAATGTTTGTCAATACATCCAACATGGTTATACTAGTGTAGGATTTGCATCTGCAAACTATGAACTGTTTCAACGTTCGCAAAGATATATCTATCACCTGGTTTGGAGTTATGTACTCATCTCTTTTAGCCCAAATATCGGATAAATATCGTTTCAACTTTTGAACGGATTGCACGATTTCATTATTCTCAAGCTCTTTGCGAAATGATTCACTTTCTTCTAACTTCTTTGCGTATAGTAATGAACTGAACTTCTCCATTACTTTTTGTCGTTGTTTCACGTCAAGTTTTACTTCTGCGTCACAAAGAGTCTTCCAAATCTCCTCGACTAAAGACGCCCGCGACACTAATAGGGTCGCATTCGAGAATATGGCGTCCAAAGCATGATTTTGTTCATCAATCTGATTAATCATGATCGTCCTTGGTTCAAAACTCTTTAGTGTTTGATTTTCTAATAGCAGTTTAGTAGAAAAGAAGGCTTGACTGAAACTAGGTTCCGTTATTTGCGAGTGTAACGCGCAGGCGATGGGCAACGCGCCCAAAGGTGTAGGTACAAAGAAAAACGATACTACACATTCTCTTGTATGCGTGCTGTCTATAATAATAATATGGAGTTCATGTCCTGATAGAACGTTTTTCATAAACGGTGTAATAACAACTGTGATGCTGTAATCGTCTGTGTATCTCATAACACCGCCACATTCTTCCAGAGTCTTCATCTTTTCAGCCATGATGTCACCGATATTACACTCTAGTCCCTGGGATTTCTTTTTCTGGTACAAGTATGAGATGTGACGTAAAGAAGGGTTCCTTTCAACGTTAGAAATGTCACTACCACCATTATTTGATTGTAGCATCAGTTCGTGGTAGCTTTTCGCAGTAGCCACGGTGTGGCCGTCCGCAAAATATTTCAAGAATAACTTGTCAGTGTCAGTCGAACATTTCAAATATTTGTAGGACTCTCCCGCCCTAACGCTGTGCGTGTGAATAAAGTTGATGTAAATGGTCAAATTCAATCCCGCCTTCAACATCTTATCGTTCCTTATCGTGTTACGATTTATAAACTTTATCTTGAAGTCTATCTTTGCTTTACACTGCTTGTCCTTCGAACTCGCCTGTTCTGATATTCTACTTTTGTTAAAGCTAGAGTGATGGCACACAAACACTTTTCTATACAAAAGTCTCTTTAGCCGCGGAAAGCACGCTCGTACTATCCAACCTGTTTTCGTGAACCTCGTAAAATTTTTTATCCATTCCGAAGCGTACTCACTGTAGAACTGAGCATCACGATCGGTGTCCACGTGACATTTTACCAAAATATTGTACTTTTCCCCTGATACGTAATTAAAAACAGGAAATTCGGCGTTTTCTGATATTTCACTGAGGAAATTTCTTAATTTTTCTTTAGAACACATTATTTTAACTTTTCTAGCATATCACGTACACTATTTAAAGACTAAACGTAGTTTTTCATAAAATAAATTGTCTATACTTATTTCAAATGATTCGTTTACAAACATAACACAACAACGCACATAGTTGAAATACGCACAACCTCTATGAAATCGATGCTCTGAGACCGAGGCGACTTCGTATAGCGCATGTGTAGCCAGGCGCTGAGACCGCGTATATTCCGTCGTATAAATAGCACTTAATGGCGGCGCGAGGTGAACGAACGGATACTTGGAGCCGAACGGTATAGGACGCAGCTGTCATTTGATATTGCGCGTCATTCACCTGTTGGCGCCGGCGGGAAAATTCAAATTTTGACGTTTACCTGTTGACATTTTTTTATTTTTCTGTCTGCCCACGAGATTTTTATACTTAGTTTGAATATAAATAAAATAATATAGGAATCGTTTTTAGACGAAAGTTTATGATTTTTTTTTTGTATTCTTTTTTTATGGATTTTTCACAAGAATTTGTGAAACTATTATTAATCATATTTTTTCTTTATGTCGACAGGGGTGTATTCCAGACGTTAGTAGAAAAACACTTCCCAGCGCCGGACCGCGACCGCATCAATCGCTTGCTGGGCCTAGAGCCGCCGCGCACTAAGGCCGCGCCGTCCCACCAGCCCGTACACACACAAAACGGAAAGAACGGACTCGATGATGAGGCCAACACCTCGAAGAGGAAATGTAAGTACAAGGCACTCAAATGTTAATTTATTGTATTTGACGGAATATTTATTTTCACTATATAAATTTTAATAAACAACCAATATTTCTGTGTATTCTAACAAGAAAGAAGCTATTTATAAAATGAAAAATAAAATTTATTCAAGTTGTCATAAAAATACCTTCCTTTTTGAGTTAGTGTTTTTGTCGTATTTGCTTTGATTTACTCCTCTACTCTACGTTTTCAATTTATAATAATCTAAAATTGGTACCCACCACTTTTTATATAACCCAATTTTTTTATATCTTTTTATAGTAACCGCACGTCAACAAGCCAACGCAGCGGCCAAGCGTATGCGCGGAGGTTCGTCTTCCGACGAGTTCGTGCGAGGATCTGATGATGAGCTGGAGATGGAGTCGGATGACGAGCGACGGCCTCCCGGCTCAGACTCTGATCTGTCTGACTTCAATCCCTTCCACGGAGGCAGTGACAGCGATGATGGTGAGTTGTATCAATTTATATTTGTCAATGGTATATGCTATTTTATTGTGTAATAATCCTAAAACTTCGCCTTCGCCCATCCTCCTTCAATCCCTTAGTCTTCGTAACCCTAATCCTCATAAGGTCGGCAATTCACTCGCAACTCTTCTGGGCGGGTGTTTATAGGCGGCTTACCATCAGGCAATCATCTGATCGTTCACCAACCTATTACATAAAGTGTGTGTGAATGAATAGGTATAGATTTTTTATTGACTTACGAAACTGGTTAGATTTGATTGTAACTGAAGTCACCATAGTTATCATTTAAAACAATACAACATTTATGTGAAATCAAAAATACCTTACCTTAACAGAGCCATGGTTGGGCCGTCAGAAGAAGAAGCCGGTAAAGAAGAAGAAAGCAGCGTCACCAAAGAAGAAACCTTCGACGACACAGGATAAGATTGAGACAATGTTTGAACGCAAGAACAGCGCGGCCGCGACGCCCACCGTAACCGTCACCACTCCCGCCGGACATAGCCTCACTGGCACTCCCGTAGGCACTAATGGACTGTACTTAGGTCAGTAAATAAATAGTTTAATTTATATTATTCAATGTTTATTGCTTTTATAATCTGTGTCACATTCAAAGCAAATACTATATAGATTTTAATGAAGACTGCAATACTTTTTTAGTTCTATAGTCGACTAGACTACAATAAAGTCTACTTAATAATGATGTTCTCTTGTCATCTACAGACGGATTGGTCCAGCGATTTGTAGCCTTTAGTTGATAAAACTAAAAAAAAAGTATTGTAGTAGATGGTGCTCTGTTTTTTGCCCCTCGTAGGCAGAAGATAAGTAGTCATATTTCCGACTAACGTATTGATTGCATCTTTGATATGTAGACTTTGTTGTAACGATAACGATATGACAAAAAATGTGATGTTATAAGTAGTATGTATAATGTAAGAGTCCGCCCGTAGGTCCGTCCCGCGCCGCGGCGCCCCCGCGGTCGGCCATCGAGCGCGCGTGCTCGATGAAGGAGGAGCTGCTGAGCGCCATCGAGCGGCTCGGCCGCCGTCTGCCGCCCAACACGCTCGACCAGCTCGTCGACGAGCTCGGAGGGACCGACAACGTCGCCGAGGTATGCCTACTTCATCATTTATGCACGATGTCAAAAGTAGGGGAAAATATGCCCAATATAGAAATAAAATAAACCAGAACACATTTTTTGTACATTTGTGATAATGTGTATAATGTAGAAGTATACACCTATTATAATAAACCTCATGTCACAACATAGACCATTAAGCTTTAGGTATTAATTTGCTACTTATGAGTCTCCTTCATTCTTGTTTCGCTTATGGACGATAACCACAGATGCCCCAATAACTTTTTCATTGTATCTTTCGTGAGACATACTAAATTAGATAATATGTTTGCGGCTTACTCACGTTATTGTTTGACAAGATACTCGACTAGTTTCAAGCCATGCTAGAGGCCCATATTCATGAGCAGTATTCCGCGACACGCGACTGTCGCGCTGTATCTCGTCAAACAATTACGTGAGTAGGTCGCAAACATAATAATTAAGCCCCAATAACTTGTTTGTCAGTATAAATAACGCTATGGTTTAATCGGATGCCTATCCGCGGTTATAGTTCGATGACAGTTATTGGTAAACTGAATTAATGTACCTTAAAAAGAAAAATAATTATTATTAAACATCCTTTGTAACAATTTCCAATTCTCCCCGCAGATGACAGGCCGCAAAGGTCGCGTAGTACAAACGGAGGACGGACAGATCCTGTACGAGAGTCGGTCGGAGGCCGACGTGCCACTGGAGACTCTGAACCTCACGGAGAAGCAGCGCTTCATGGACGGACAGAAAGATGTCGCCATCATCTCCGAGGCAGCCTCCAGTGGTATCTCGTTGCAAAGTGATAGGAGGTCAGTTGAATTATATGAACTCTTATTTGATAAGTCGAATAAGGTGATTCAGGTTTGATCATCAAATTGAATTGATCATTCAAATGTGATTTGTGATAAATAATTACAAATGAATTTATTACTCGTAGAAGTGTCTAAAACGCATTGAAGTGTAATAAGATTGACACTCAAAGTGATAATAAAAGCACTCTCAATGCATAAGGACAAAACTTGTTTGTAATTATTTTAGTATCACTACACTATAAAACAAAGTCGCTTTCTCTAAAACTACGCAACAGATTGTGATTGAGTTTAACAAAAAAAAAGAGTGATTAAAGAGAAAGTTTGTATGTATGTGTTTAATAGTTTATAATTTTTTTATCAACCCTGCACCTGTACCAGCTTGCGATACATAATAAATATAATTATGATTGTAACATTTGATTTCTTCGTTTGTTGTTAGAGCGCGAAACCAAAGGCGGAGGGTGCATATAACTCTAGAGCTGCCGTGGTCGGCCGACCGAGCTATACAACAGTTTGGTAAGTCAACTATTCTATACTAATATTATATAGAGGAGAGATTTTATTATTTGTATTGAATAGTCTGCAAAGCTGCTCTAGCACTATTGGGAAACTACACTATCCCCTGTGAACATAGGCTTTTACATTATGCGGGAGAAACCGCAGGGCTATATTAGTTACTAGCTACTACCGCGCGGTTTCACTCGCTGCTTGGCTCCATTTGATTGTAGCGTGATGTTTTATAGCACTTGGGAACATTTGTAGCTATCAATAAGTGAAAGACTTTTGGGAATCTGACCAGTAGTTCCAAAGATTACCCCCTACATACAAAGTTACAAATTTTACTTCTTTATAAAATTAGGATAGATGACATTAAATAATATTAATTTTATCTGCCATCATTGCCGAGTAGCTGGGGAACTTGCTGCCGTTTCATTTGTCGTGGGTTCGATCGCCACACGAAACAACTCTTTGTATGATCGACAAATTTTTGTTAATTATGCACCTACCTTATCGGTAAAGAACTATGGGTAAAAAGCATAAAATCGGCATAATAACTTTAAGATTGTAATCTAACAAACTATCGTATTCATAAAAAAATCGACGAAAAAAATCGTTATTGACATTTAACATTCATCCAACAGGTCGTACCCACCGATCGAATCAGGTGAACGCGCCGGAGTACATATTCTTGATCTCAGACCTGGCTGGAGAGCGTCGGTTCGCGTCCACTGTCGCCAAGAGACTGGAGTCTCTCGGGGCTCTCACCCACGGGGACCGCAGAGCCACCGAGACTAGGGATCTCAGCCAGTTTAACATTGACAATAAATATGGTGAGTTATTTGTTCAATTTTGTTTTTGGTTTCTGATAATATGGTGTTTATAGAAAAAATATTGACAAGGACCATGGAGCTTCTTGTTCATTCTTTTATTGGAATCTACCCTTTGAAACGAACAATAGCTTTACTAGAGGACGGACCGACAAACTGACACAAACTTTTTGATATTTATTTTTTATTTAACGTTCTCAAGTGCCTATAGTATATTTGAAAAAAATATTGTTGTTGTTTTTGCTTTGACTTTGAAAAATGTATACAAATGACAATATAGCACAGCACTCTTATGTAATTGATAGTTAAAATCCACACGCAACTACATTTTGACTGGGATATGTTCGATAAAACTATAATACTTTTTGCCCATAATTAAAAAGTATTAAGTATAGTTTTATTTGTTGAGCATATGATGTACGTATGCAGGTCGCGCGGCCCTGGAGGCAGTGATGCGCGCCATAATGAAGTACGAGCGCCCCCTGGTGGCACCGCCCGCGGACTACGCGGCCGACTTCTTCCAGGACGCCGCGGCCGCGCTCGTCGGCGTAGGGCTCATCGTCAACAGCGAGGCCGCGCCCGGCGTACTGCAACTAGACAAGGTAAACTACAGCTCTATACAGTTGACCAGTCTGTAATCTTCTGTCCATCATTTTAATTTTAAAGTTATAAATATATTGACCTTGAAGCCATTTTCTTTTTTGGATTTTATAAGTATTATTATTACACTTCTCACATAATAGAACCGACTGAATTATTTCACTTAGAAATGAATTTGGAAACTGATTGAAAAAGAGTAATCATGGAGGTTCTTGCTTGTGCCATATAAATCTACACTTTGGAACGAGCATATAGCTTTCTTTTAAGACAACGACAGACACCCAATTTGTTGAACTCTTTAAATTATTTAGTTTGGCGTTAAAAAGTGACTTTGACTTTCATTTTGTCACCAAATAGTAAATTAACGTTTTTTAAATAAGACCATTTGATCGATATAAATAAGTAAATCCCTTTGCAGATGTACTTCTTTAATCACTAATTATAATATAAGTTTTACAATAATTGAGTGTGTTTTCGTCGCGACTATTAGAATGGCAGTGGCCGGAAGGCGCGCAGCTCGAACCTCTCGCTCGCGCTACGGATGCGTTCCATACACGACAAAGAATGATGCGTTCCGGCGTAGACACCATTCAACCAAAAGACACCATTTTGTGTGCTCTCTAAATTCTATACTTTCTCAACTCATAAAAACCCACTACCTACACTAGATTCATTCTGTCTTTTCTTTACCTAAATAAATACTTTATATTTGCAGGATTACAATAACATGTCCAAGTTCCTGAACAGGATACTGGGCATGCCCGTCGATCTACAGAACAGGCTGTTCAAGTACTTCACAGATACACTCGCTGCAGTCATGGAACAAGGTACACCATCTATTTTTTAGTTTTTATATAATTTATAGTTATAGTTAGCCCAAGCGTATGGCGCGGCTCCTCAGAGTCTAATAGGCCACCACAGACGGGTCCGAAAAGGGCCGATGGTTGGCCGGGGTTGAGGGGCAAGCGCAATAAGGTACCGTGGCCTTGGTCTGGAGCGGGCACGTTGTTATAGCAGCGGTAAGACCCCTCTGAAGAGTGACTTGAGACACGCCACGACGTCCTCATCATCCGCCTGACGAGCCAGGCCGCACCACCACTGGCGAGAGAAGTAATTTTATGATTTTCCGCTTTCAATAAAAAGGAGATAGAATCAGCACATACTACATTTATTCTTCAGTTAGATGGAATGACGATATATGTCAGGAGGTTGGCAGTGGTTGGCAGTGGGCTAAAAATCAAACCCAGTGGTGAGATATTATTATTGAGTGGTTATATGTAGCAGTGGACGAAAATGGGCTGATCATGATGATGTTCGTCCGAGAGAATGTTACACATCAAAACGATTGCATCACTGCTTACCATCAGGTGGGATCGCAGTCAAGCACTAGTTTATAGCGAGTAAAAAAAAGCATGAGTTGCCTAGCCGCCTGCCAAGCGCGGGGGTTATGGCCAGCCCCAACCCCTCCCTTCCCCCTTTATGATCGATACAAGAAAAGTCCCCAGTCTCCGTCATCCCCGCTATTCCTAATCTAGGTAGCGGATCAGGTAACGGCGAAGCTGGGTATGCTAAGAATCCCCGCTACCGCCCGAACCGACGAACTTTGGCCCTGGCAACACACAACATCCGCAAACTGAGTACCGATGAGAGGATTGTTCAGCTGGTGGACGAATTGAGCAGAATGCATTGGGACATCCTTGGACTGTCCAAAATCGATGGGTCGACCAAAACCGATGAGATCGTCTTTATCATGGCAACCTACAAGTGCATATTCAGTGATGTCTCTGTGATTGCTAAGGTGAAAACTCTTAGCGATCATCGAATTCTTAAGGGCGTACCGAATATCAATGTCAAGCTGGAGAGGTCATGACTGGTGAGGTCAACACTCCGTCCCTGCCACGGCAGATTCAGACCCCCGAAGCCTTTCAACTCCACGGTAACCTCAATAGGCAAATTTCAAAAGCTATGCAACGCGACCAGCTTTCTTATAATATTGCACGAGTGAAGGACGCCATCGAGCGAGCCCCAAAATTTTTCGCAAAAAATTTGTCTCTTGGGCAAAGCCAAATAACAAGGCTGTTTCGTCGAAATCGGAGCTTCTGAGAAAGCTCAAGAGGTTTTACGGACAGTTGTACACCTCAACACGGCAACCCATTGTCACTACAGCTCGGGTTCTAAGAGCTAAGCCGACATGACATTACACTCAGAATATCCCAGAAAACACCGATAGTTTTAGACCCCAAAAGTTATTCGATTCCGACATACTCGAAGGAACTATGCCGGAATCATGGCAAAGGAGTGTGGTAGTTCTGTTCTTCAAAAAGTTAGGCGAAGTTAGAAGTTAGAAGTTAGGCGATGTCTTCTCAGCGGAAATCCCACATTGTCTGAAGGCCGGGATGTTTAATCAGTGTGTATTGCCCGTGATGATGTATGACTGAGACGTGGTCCCTAACTTCTGGCTATCTTGAAAAACTCGCGAGTCGCTCAGTGAGTGATGGAACGGGCTATGCTCGGGGTCTCTTTGCGCGACAAAATCCGAAATGTCGAAATTAGCAATACAACTCGTAAAATCTGCAGGCTAAAATGGCAATGGACAGGCCACGTCGCTCGAAGGACGGCCGATGGGCCCGAAAAGTACCAGAATAGCGACCAAGAATCGGACAACGAAGTGTGGGCAGGCCCCCTGCTAGGTGGACCGTCGACATTGTCATGGGGAGCTAATGTCGTTCGAAGTGGAGGGCTGTGGGGAAGGCCTTCGTCCAGCAGTGAACGTCTTTCGGCTGATGATGATGATGTTGTTAACGTGTTACTTTCCAAAAGTAGATAATAAATTGGTTTTGGTATTGCAGCGAAGCGCAGCGGTCGGTTCGACCTGGGCATCCTGGACCTGGGCAGCTGCGGCGAGCGCGTGCGCCGCGTGCGCTGCATGCGGTACGTGCGCCGCCACGCCACCGGACGCGCGCCCGTCGAACTACACACGCTGCACTCCGAGGTACATACTCTCACATACACAGCTCCCTCCTAGTTCTGCACTCTTTAAATTCCCTATACTGAAAGCTCTAACAGCTCACAAGAGGTCGGCAACGCATTTGTAGTACTATGTCAGCTACGGTATTCATAAACACAAAAATAACAATAACATTATAACTTACAGCGTGGCATGGACTGGGCGGAGGCGTTGGAGAAGTGGTCGGAGCTGTCGGGCGCCAAGGAAGGGTTCTACGTATCCCAGCAGGCGCGCAACAACAAGTACACCGCCATACTCTGCGTCGCCGCCGTCACCTCCGTCAAGAAGGAGAAACTTACCAAGAAGGACATCATGTTCCAAATTTATAGGTCAGTATTATATACTGATATTTGATAAAAACTTATATGTATTTTGGATTTTGGATCCCGTAACGAAATAAATCAGAAGATATTATTTGAGGAGACAAAAAACTAGATACGTTTACGGTACGGTTTGCGGATCTAGCGTGGCCTCGGTCTTGGGAGGGGGATGGAATGGGGTGTTTTTTTAGTTAGAAAGAGTCTTTTTCTTGCCCCACCCAGGGTGGGAAAGTAGCTTGACCACATAAGCATAGCTTTAACCCAATTAAGTTCTTCGTGAAACAGTTACGAGTAAAGTATAAAACATAATTATTTATTAATGTAATGTAATAATTGGTGCTTGTAGGCCTAACACGGGCCTCCAGTTGAAGCTGGAGTCCCTGGCGGAGATCGAGAAGAAGTACCGTCGCGTGGAGTCGAGCGAGGCGGAGTCGTGGTGGCGCGCGCAGTACACCGCCTCGCAGCGCGTCTGCTCGCACGCGTACTGGCGCTCGCTCTGCAGGAATGGGGCCGACTGCGAGGTACGTCTAAATATTGCTTTTTTTTCTATGCTCAATATTTGCGCGGTTTCACATAATGATTGTGCCAAACTCACTTTTATTAAGTTTTTCTAAATTTTTTTTTTTTAGTAAGTTATATTTTAAAATTCATATTTTGGTAGACAAGTTTGAGAAATTAACTGCGCTCTTATTATTTTTGTAGTATGTACAATTTATTTCAATTTTCTCATCACTAATGGGTCGGTTCGAACGAACTTATGTTACGGTTTCATGAAATCAATGTTAGCGTTAAACTTTGGTCATGTGGAGTGTGTAAGTCCGTGATTGTCCGCAGGTGGGCCTGCGCGTGCGCACGCACCACGTGCTGTCGGGGTCGGTGCTGGCGGTGTGGGCGCGCGTCGAGGCCGTGCTGGCGGCGCGCGCGCAGGCGCACAAGATGCAGGTGGTGCGCCTCAAGGCCGCCGACGGGCTCAAGCTGGTCGGCACGCTCATACCCAAGAACTGCGTCGAGCCCCTCAAGGAGGCGCTCTGCTCCGACGCCGTCTCCGTCAGCGAGCACAGCTTCGAACACACCGAACTCAACTGAACGCCTCCGCTCCACTCTCTTTGTTTTATTGCTCCCGCCCGGCCCGCCCGGCGGACTCCGACTGATTAATTCCCTCCCCGCCTGCGCCGCGACCCTCCCGCGGACTGTGTGACGCCTGGCCTAAACATTTTTACACGACGAGCTGGCGCGTGACACGACTCGACTCGTAACGAGAGGCCTAAGACACACCAAAAGTATTTATTTAATAATCCTACTTTAAGCTGAATAATGAACGACAATAAGGTCCCATATCACGCAATCCTCAAAATATTTTGACGTTGAAGTATTACATATCGTAAGTCAATTGTTAGTGGAGCGAGGATAGTATGGCACACAGTCTCTCTGATATTAGACAGGTCGGCGAGCGCTGCGGGGGAACGCGTTGGTTTCGAGACGGCGCGATTGTGTAAGGTGGCGTGTTGGTGACGTCACACGTACGTCACGCGCGACACGCTGCGTGACTACTGAATACAATGAGTTCCTAGTAAACAAGTTAAGGCTTAGCTAACTTATTGCTCTTTTATTCTTGCCCCCTTTATTAAAGTCTATGGGACTAATTCGAATATTTACATAAACATTTGATCTTTATGAAGAGTACATGTCTAAAGAGTTGTGTTGCGCACGCGCACGACGCACGTGCTGACGTCACAACACAAGTATAGTGAGAATGATCTACATGCACGAGTGCATAAGATTTACTTTAAGTACTTTACGTATTTTTACTCATACATTATTGTGACCGTGAACCTCAAGCCGATTGAGCGCTTCATAGTTTTTTTTTTATTTCAATTACATGACCAAGTCAATATCTCGGTACATTCTTGTATACGAATTAAATGGAATTTTAATTTTTTGTACAAATATTGTAGTGTTTTATTTAATTATTCAATGTTAGATTGTATTACTTATTTCTTAATGTCGCAGACAATTCGAGGATGTATCATAATCTTAATATAAAATACTAATTATTGTATGTTTATCGGATGTTAGCATACTATATTTGTATCGAACGCACGTGCAATATGTATTCTATGTTCCCACCAGTCTATCAAAATATAAAAATAAAGCGTCCAACCTGGGCGCGGAAAAAAATATGTGTTTTCTTTGTAGGCAGATGTTTCTTATGGTGATTTTAAATTATAATCGAATTGCTAGTCTGTAATGTACATAGTTCATTTCGATAGAATATAGAGGTTGGTACATTCCTAAAGGTACATTAGAATGGTCCGTTCGCTTCTCATGATAACGCATATTATACACTCCACCTATTTACACGCATGCAGCCTCTATATTGTTTCGAACTGAATTTTGAGTATTAAATATATGTTTCAAAAAAATCAAATTACTCAAGATATCTGTACCTAGCTGTTATTTTGTTCTCAATTAATTTGTATGGCTTTTAATGATAATGTTCCAATTTAGAAGTGTCAAACTAAATGTTCTAAGTGTTTATATACCTTAGAAACGCTAAGTTAGTATTGAAATTGACACATAGGTAGGACATATAAAGACTTGGCAAGAGATGGAAGGTTCTCGATTTCAATACTTCCTTAGTCGAGTATATTTAAGTCGATATTATAAACGACACATGAATTTAAAACGTAGTTGCTATTATGCAACCATAGGTTTGTATAAAGGGTAATATCGGGACGTCTAATGACCAAAATGGCTCATAGTGTCACTAAATCTCGTCTACATTTCTTAAATGTGTAAAAATTAAAGACAAAATGTGTATATAAATTATTTTGTTCGTTTTATTTTAACAATTCCTTGGCTTTGTTATTACAGCTTAGCCCGCTTATAAACATCTTTACTATAATATTTTTATAAGTGAGTAGTTTTTTATCATTCATCTTTCAAGTTATATTTGTAGGAAGGATACAAAACTAATTGCACGGTTGGCGCGGTGGCCGGGCAACTGGCTCAAGAAAAAAATCCTAGTGTGGGGCAACGTTTATTAAAAAAATCCTTTATTACAACGACAATTTATTACTAAGGTACAAATTAGGCTTACAGTCACGATACATTTTCGAGGATCGGGAAAAAATCGAGAGTGGGTCCGGTCGGTAAATCGGTTTCATAGGTTTATACGATTAGGCAATTAATACAAATATTTTTATATATGTTGTATTATGCACGCAGAAAGCAAAGGCTTTCAAAGAGTTTTCAGATAGAGAGGATCTGATGTTATTATTTTTTCAAAAGTAACCTGCATTAGAAAAAGCTTTGTCTGCTTCGGCGGTAGTAGGTAATTAAAGCACTGATTTGAATGCTAACCTCTGTCGCCATCTGTGGTCACCACCATTCTCAAAAACAGTTTTTTTACATGCAGTCTTTGCAAGTGACTGATGCTCCTGTGTTTATTTATTTTTAAAGATTAAGCAAGTTTTCAAGCACCCTAGTAGATTGGTATTTTTTAGTCTCGAAAATCTTGAAAAGTTAGTCTGGAATCTCGAAAAAACGACAAAATCGTCGAGACCGGAGACACTCGGGATGTACCTAAGCCTTAAGTAGTAACAAAGTTTATTACAAAACCCTGACCTGGTGTAATTTTAATAAATTATCTGGTATATAGTGCCAACAGCAATCAATCGCTAGATATTTTATACTTTTACGAACCAATGAATCATCGAACTGACCAAATCAGCAATTAATTCAGTACCTACTGAAATCAAACTGCTTGTATAATTATAATGGTAGGAAAACTTACCCAATTTCGCCTTTGCGGTGATAGCAAACATGTAGGTATGTAGTATTATCATAATATACATGGAAAATAATATTTGACACGTTGTGAACTCGGACACCAAAGCAATTTTTTTTAAGTTTCCCGCTATAAATTACCTACGTTTTGTTACTTCCCATGTCGTCAAGTAACGCAGAACGGTAGAAGAGCGACGTTTCGGTCGGTATCTCAGAAACGTTTTGTTGCCTCGCACTTGACATAATAACATTTCCATCCGATAAATGTCAAGTTTGTCATTTTAGTTTTACGGAAGAAAAATGGTCGGTTTGCTCAACTCTGTTGTTTTCATTTAGATATTGACTAAAAAATTTATAGGTGTGTCTCAAAAATGACTGATAAGGAAATTTCCGTGGAGGAATTAGAGGAAACGGTGAGTCAGCAGATATATTAAGTACAATTAATTAGCTAATAAGGTACTGTTAGGTTTTGTTCGTAGAGGAAATGTAGGTCACAGAGCCGCATCTTCTCCACAAATACTGTATTGCTGGGAATATTGGGATACGTAGTAGAAAGGCTGAATAAAACTTATACCTTCTTCTCAAATCGGGTACATTTATAACCTACTATTTCCTATTACGATATTTCCTGTCATTTTTACCGTAAACATTTTGTTTACACATCCTCATTCGAATAAATCAAATATTTACACAATTAGGTGTGCACAATTTTACCCGTCTTGTTTTCTAATGTGGGAAATTACTGTCTCGTTCTTCTAATTACTTTCACCATTTAAGTTCAGTCAGAAAAAGTATTTTTGATGTCTCAGAATGGTTGTATTAATGCAACATAATGAATAGTTTACAATAACTATTTTCTTTTGTGTAACACAATCACATATCCACCTTTTTTACTGTGTAAGAAAGTTTTGTGTTTTATCTATTGCATTGATGTTATAATTCCTTCCTTAATAAATATTTATTAGCAGTACCTAAATATTTTTATGTAGATTTTTATGTTTTAAAAGATATTCTTACATGAACTCTACATATATATATTCATGTCTAAAAATCATCACAGTAGATATTGCATTTCATTTCAGTGTGTCCTAGATTTCTATTTGTGTAATTTGCATTGCTTCTATTATTGGAAGGTGGTTTAGCATCACAGATGTAAATGTATAGACCTTCAAAAACCTTAATATGGATCTATCTATATCTGTGGTAAGCATTCACTTTTTTCTCAAAGGTCTCATTGGCCACATGGTCTGTTTTGCAACTGGAGTAGCTATCTAATTAAAGCATAGAAATCTACAATATTAAAAAACTATAGAAGCAGCTTGAGCATAGCTATATCAGTCAGTGTATTTTGTATTTTATTTTTAATTTATACATACTTGCTTGCACACATACAAAAAAACAAATATGTAGATCAATAGAAAAATGTTATGGTTATAATGACCGGTCTTACTTCACGAGACAATTTCTTCCAGACATTCTTTGGATGGAAAGTTATGAAAGAAACTTGGGCATAGGCAGTAAAGTGTACAAAAAATTAAACAAATTAAAATATACCAATACAATAATAACATTAAAATAAACTTAGTATAATTAGAAAATAACGTATTTTCTTATTAGAATTTAAAACAAAAAAAAATATACACATGGCTTAGCAAAAATATTACTTATCACTGAAATATACACTTCTGTGGTTCGAATTGAACAATTATTTCTATAAATAAAAAAATCTAGTAGAGCCACCTCATGAAAAATCCTTATAAATGTATGACAGGTAAAGCAGACAGATGAACAGCTAGACCTCATGGAATGGAAGATGGATAATGTGGAGAAGGAGCTGGTGGAGCCCATCAACACACAGGACATGTGTATCATGCACCTGTTGAAGTCTGTCTCCGAGGTGAGAGCCAAACTTTTTAGCATCCACATAGAACTATATAAATCTATATTTTAGTATTTAAAAAAAAGCAATGAAGTAGGAATAATAATAAAAAAGAGCTTATTATTATGTTTAGTCAAAATGAAATACTTACGAGTCATGTGGGGAGAATGGGGATATAAGTATACAAATATTATAATATAAAAAATACATATAAAAATGATAATACAGGATGTGTAGGTTTTATAACAAAGCTACATGCATATTCAATTCATACTGCCTATTTTTCTTACACCTTAATCCCCTCCCTTGCTATAGCACATTCTTTATATAAAAAAACATTTTATTAATGGTAGTCTGTACTCATAAATTCAATGGAAAATCTAGAACAGAAGCACTTGATTTAATTTGCGCGCTTCTTGCAAGCACTATTAGCATAATTTGCAAGTTTATTCTAACAAGTCAAGTGTACGGCGTGTTGCCAGTAAATAATTAAGAATTTACATAATTTACCCTGGGAGAATATTCTCTGCTAAGTGTAGTGTGAACATTTTAACAGAACAAAAATATTGTTACAATAGAAAAATGGATTTTAGGTCATAAAACGGCATTCTTAAAGAGTAATTAATAAAAAAAAATCTACACTTTTGTTTACTCTTTACGCAAATAAGAAGGAATTTATTTAGGTATTGCATTATTTATCATATTTGTCAACCAAGTTAGAAATTTAATAACTTTATATGCTTACTAGGGAAAAATTACAATACGGTAGGTATTGTAATTTTATAGCACTAATCCTTGTATGCGTTGGTAATTAATATCCCTTTGTAAGTTATGTATGGAGTGACTAATACAAATTCCTATGTCGTCTTGTAACTCACAAAGGTTAGTCATTCTTGCTGATAGCGCGACCATAGTCTCTACGCATGTTTTAAATTGAAGATGCTTTGACTAATAAAAATGTTTCTTAACACGATAAGCTATTAAATAATGCAGGAAAAGAACAATGTTGTTGTTTGAACATAGTCGTCTTGGGAAAAGTTTTTATCTTGACAGCTTTTGATAATTTATTTAAAACATGGGATTATTGAATATCTAAAATCATGTAACGACTATTTATTCTATTCTATGAACGAACACGGAATTTTCTCTTTTACGAATAGACTAATATAATTTTGTAACATGAAACCCTAATCCCAGCTTATGGTTCCACACAACGCGCCCGACCATTTCATAAGATAATTTACGTGACATTGCCCACAACATAAACAACGAAATTGTATGACTGGAACCCAAAATTCAGAGTCCAAACAGTTGCTGAATTTTCATCTTTACATGTTACAGAATAAAGTTGGTTGTGCTATGTTTCCTTACGTTGTAAATTACGTGGCTACGTTGGAATTTTCACCTGTAGACGTAAGCCGCATTGAATTAGGCCGCACTGGGACTAAGCTCAGCTAGTCTGGAGGATAATAAGCCCGACTTAAATCCGGGCTGAGCGCTTTGCTTATTGCTTACAAAGTGTGCAGTACAGGCGACTTACGTTGTATGAAAACGTAAAGTAACATTTATTATTTCCCTGTAGAGGAAATTGAGGTGTATGTTAATGTCACACTCGAAATATATCAGTATAATTCAAAGTCGCTTTTCTGTCCCTACATCCCTATTTATGCTTAAATCTTTAAAACCACGCAAATGACTATGATGCGATTTTTTCTGATAAAGTCATTAAGAGGAAGGTTTATATGTATGATATACATTATTAAGTGAAAAAAAAATTGCTTAGTAGCTGGGAAGTGTCGCAACTTGTTATATAAAATACTTTTTTTAGACATCTATTCGTACACAAATAATATAGGTAACCTAGAAACATAACAATAAAAAAGTTTATTTCAATTACAATAGGCATTTGATACATAATTGTTTAAGGCAAACATTAGCTTGTGTTAAGAGACACCTATTAAACCTACAACGTATAAAATAAAAATGTTTTTTTCCCTGCATTTAATTAATGAAGGTACGTGTATTTGAATGTATTTATCTATGTATACGCCCACAAACTGCAGCGGCCGGTCCAACAGTATAATGTAGAAGATAATATATCGTATGTATAAATATATAATATTTATTTTTCAGCCAATGCTATAGTGTCGTGACAGGTCAGATTACACGATTATACAGTCATGTTGCTTATGGCTTGTTGTTTTTCTTTTATCTTGTTTATTGAATATATTAATTAATTAAGTTAAGCTTAATTGATATTTACTTTGTTGCACTGAGAAAAATTAGAAAATTAATGTTTATGTTATGTATGTATTTATAAAAAAAGAGTCTCTGTAACTGTGATGTGAAATGTGCGTGTGAGAAACTGTTTGATTACAAAAATGATTGATCAATTACATATTTATATTGACCTTGAGTAAACTGAGATTAAATATATGATATATGTATGAAAGAATTTGTAAGAAAATCTAACGAAATTTCTGTATGTACATAAATATCACAATTGAACATGTTGACTCAATTTGAATTACAATTATAATGCATCGATTGTAATTAATCGCTTCTATTATATCCTGTTTCTATAACTCGTACTAGATCTATTATTAAAATAATAGATTTGTTTACTAACTTCACACTTATGAGTCCACTTATCCCCATTTCACTCAGTGCAATAATATTCGAAAAAAAAACTAATCGTATTCCGAAAACCGACAAGCCAGAAGGTCATGCTTATCGATATATAGTTGTCAGCCGGGCTTGGCTGTGGTACGAAGTCGAAGCCTGGCCCAAAGCCTCAGAAGTCGGGGCCGCTTTACGGCTTGAACTATGCGTTGCGGGACTTGAGTGTCGCGAGTTCGATATGCGTCTAATTAGATTCAGGCGGTGCGTAACTGCGAGGAGCTGAGTTTTCCAATCTTTGACAAACATTTTTTTATAAGTACGGCCATTTTTTATTTTGGGGCCCCCATAAGTTCGGGCCCCTGGTAGACCCCCATCTTTAATGTTACTGTAATAAATTATTATCGATGAATATTTACTGAATCATTAAGGTGAGTAAACTCGTCGTACACAAATAGTAGCCAGTCAATTCAAAAGTAAAGTTAGTTCGGTATTGTGTGACAGACGGGACCCTCTTCGCCGCAACGCACCGCCTTATATTTGTAACAATATAGGTAGATGATATTCATGTAATATATGTTCTGTCAACTGTCCCGCTTCCGTTCTCTGTATTATGTTTATTTTCTCTCCTGTTACCTACTATTCGTTACTTCTTGTTCACGCTGTCATCGGATACTTCAAGATATGGGCCACCATATTCATGTCATTAGTTGTTCTCTTTCAATCTCTTCTACGTTGCATTGACACAGGTACAATAACTTATTGTTGACTTTGAAACCGTCTATTTTTGTAACGCATTCTTTTGTGATCAGCTTTTTATTATTATATTGATGATAATCAGTATATTGTATCTGTGTCAATAAAATTATAATAGTAAGTCAACTCCGACTAACAATACGAAACAAATTAATATTTCAACTTAACTGACAACAATTAAAACCATGTCTTCAAGCAACATACAATCCTCCATTAGTTTAACACTTGGCTTGCGTTAGCCGGAGCTGACCTACACACGACAGGCAGGTGTAACACTAGGCTCCACACACAGGTACGCTCGGACTACCAGCAGTTGCGGCGCGAGCTGGTGGAGGTGCAGGCCTTGCAGAGGGAACTGTCCTCGAGGCTCCGCACGCAGCTGCGGCTGGTGCACGGCAAGTTTGCAAGACTCCGCCAGCGACTGGCCGCAGCATCCCCACCCCGCTGAACTGATACCCCACCTCTCATGTCTAATAAGTCTCAAGAAACGTTACAAAGTTGGGTTGAACCTTAAATTTTTTTGTGGGTTTGGTAAAATTCTAAATAATTGTCGTAAGGGAAGTCTCGTGTTATTGTAGTCCTGGCTTTTAATGTTAAGTTAAATGTTTAAATTGTATTTTGTCTGTGGCTATGTCTAAATTATAATCTACGTTAGTTATTCAGGCCTATTTGATGTTGGTTGAATTTGCATGTGTGATCTACATTTTTAACGTTATTTATTATATTTGAAAACTATTCTAAATTTATTGTATAGATAGGTGATGAGATAAATTTAATTGTTAATGTTAAACGGACATGAGAGGTTTGGCCTCTTCCAAGTATCTGCTCTACAATTAGTTTCTTTAGAACCCTCTAGTGAAGGTATCGGAACTATGTGCCAATATTCTATCTAGGTAATTGTAATAGTTAGCATAGCGGCACTTTACTAACGTACTCTTGATCTCACATCAAAGGTTCAAGCGGGTTTCCTGGCTTTCATACAAGAATTTAACAATTGCACTTTATCGTCTGTTTTTTATCGATTATGAAGAATGGAATCTTCTAATTTCTTGTATGAAAGGCAGTTTGCCGCGTAACCTCACCACCCTAGTCGATATCTCATAGTATACCCAATAGTGTGTTTGTATGTAGTAAGTTGGTGCTAAACGAAGGTCTAAGGATGTTTAAGGGGATGGATTCAGCGGTTAGGCGGTAAGGTAGGCCTCGGAAAGAGTACGTAATTGACTACTAGTCAAATTCAAAACGTTTAAAGATTATTTTTTGTGAGTTATTTTTTAAGTTTAATATTCTCTATAAATAAATCGACTATAAAGTGTCTAGGGGTAATGATTTTATAGTATTTATTGTAGAATATTTTGAAAAAAAAACCGTTAATTGAGGCATTTTTGTACCAAGCGTGTCTTGTATGGTCTCGCAAGTTATTTAAAAAAGCTAAACGCTACAAAAACTACTAAAGCAATATTTGACCTTAGAATCAAATGAAAAGGTCAATTCAGGGCGCATCGGGAACGAATTTAATGTCGAGTGCTAAACGAATAATAATTATAATAAAAGTAGTTGAATTGTTAGTTTAATATATTTTGTTTATTATGGCTTTGCATGGATGAAATTGAAACGATCATATTTAGCTTCCATCTTTATGATACAGGAGATAGCATAAATACTTAAATTAAGGCGGCTGAGTCATAAAATGTTATGTCCCATCGTCCATTTATTTGAGCTCCCATCTCCTCATAAGGTAATGAAATGAAACGCAACTCATTCTACTTCAGTATCGATATTTATTTAGAAGTTAAGATATACCATCTTGAGAAAAAACCGAATGAAATACAGTTATGATAGCGACTCCATAAATGGGTTTCAAATAGTAGTTTTAAAATATGACACAGTTTTTCATGCATTGTAAATTTGTAATTTAAAAAAAGTTTTTGTGCTGTCTCCTTAGTTATAAAATTGTCCGCACACGTTTTACAGTTGAAAGGAATAGAGTAGGAAATCCTACCTTCGGACTCTGAGCTACACTGAAGAGATCATGGGTTAATCAACCAATTCTCTCTAATACAGGAAACTGAAAAACCTGTGCTGGACTGCTTGTATACGTTATCAAGGTTCCCATGACACGATCAAACAGAAATTAAACCTTGTTTGTAAAGTAATAAGAAATAAAATTGTAGGTTTTTTACGAGTCTTGTTAAATTTATCAGATTTTGTTGTTATAAAAGTGTCGTAGTTCACGGGAATCTTATTTTTTTTAATAATGTCGTTGTGCTCATATTGTCATTGAATAACGACGTTGTGTCTGCTAAAACATTATAACTTTTTATTCATTTAAATCATATTATGAATTATTTTTTGAGTTACTGTAGGTTCTATTTTTCTATTTTCTTCTTATTATATTTAATTGTGATGGACTTATTCCAACTTAAGGTCCACGGTGTAGAGCGATACTCCCACTGTTATCTTCCTCTAAGAGAATTAGCGTTCGTTAAACGCTAGCCTGTTCTATGAGGCTAATAGGTAAGCGTTGAAACCCTATTTTGACGAGATCCACGTGGATGTAATTTTATAGCTTTTATTAGAGCCTACAGTTAATTTTTTATCTTTTTTTGAATATATTTTGTATGAGTATTCTTACAAAGACTCCCAAGTTAAACATGGGAGTTTGTATTTTTGTTTGAAATAAGACTGTCGACGTCTTCGGGCGCGAAATCTCAGTTTGTTAGTGTAAGGTACAGTCAGCAATATAAATCACAATTTTAGTAAATTAATCGCACATATCAAGCACTTGCATGTTTCTCGTATCACTTAATAAATTATATTTAGGATGGACGGTACGTTATGCAGGAGTGGACACGATAGTACGAGTATTTGATTCAGTAAAACATTTAGGCCTCGTCCCAAATTATTAAAAAATATATTCATCGCACTATAATAGGTACTTAAAAAAATAAAAAATATGAAAATAATAAATAAACTATCATGCAAATTATATAATTTTATTATTTATTGTTTTGCCACCCTTTTGAGTCTGGGCCCCAACTAACTTAGGGGCCCACATAAGTCGGGGCCCCATTCTGTTTGTTAATGTATTTTTTAAATTAAAATATTTGAAAATTGGAATATAAGATGTCTGCTATCGTTGCCACATCTGTATAATAGATTTTTATATTCAAAGAAATTCTTTCAGAGTTGAATACTTTGAATATGAAATTTGTATTTACATGTGTATGTTTGAAAGATGAGAGTTGTCAAGATATGAAATATAGTCTCCCCTGAGGGTTTTGGGAAGCGAGCTAAGATGTTACCTGTCTGGTAAGCAATATGGGACCGGATAATTTATCAAAATGTCGTTATCAAAAATAATTTTTGAATTAACAATATTTTTTTTGGCGCATAAGAAATATGTGAAACTTTGGTTATAATTTTACACTAACATGCGGTTTTATTTTGGCGATCGTTTATAGTAGTAGATCCAGATATAGTAAAATACTACCGAACATTTTTTTACCTGTCGTATTTTTAAAACACTGTTCTTTTCTCTCAATTCTTCTGAATATGCGCGTCGCCACATTATATTCTTTTGCGATGTCGATGATTATCGATTGCGAAGTGGTGATAGTAATCTAGTACTAAATTCAGGTTTAAGATATCCGATCCCATGTTCCAATTCAAATCAGTCAAAACGCTTAAATAAAATGCTCAAAAATAAATTATCTAGATAGACTAAATAACGTTAGATTGAAACTCTCATCTCAAATAGCACATTGCTCATCCCAACTTAGTCAAAATACTAGTAGTAGTTTAAGAAAAATACATGTCTGAAACTATGTCTAAGTAATGTTTAAAATAATGTCTAAATTACCACGTATACCTGATTTGTCTAGACTAGAATTAGTTTTAGACTCAAAATAATAACTTTTTTGATATAGTTTTACATTTTGAATCGGGAAAGGTGATGTAATAGGCAGTTGTCGATGTGTACGTTAATTTTTTTGATAGCGAAAAAAAACTTTTTAAAAAAAGAATGTCATCTTATCAAAAAAGGTGGAGTATTTTGTTTTATAAATGTAAAATAATCTCGAAATTTTAAAATAATGTGCCAAGATACTATAGGCGTAGAAAATTATTATTTTTATTTAGTTCTAATTCATGTTATACGCTTTAAATTAAAATTAACGAACCAACATCGACAACATAAGTCTAGCTAGCATGTGTAACGCCATCTAGCGAGAATAATCAGTGCGTAAGGTCATTATGTTAGCGTTTAGTTGTTGTTTACATATAGAGGAATAGTTTCGGTGTCGTAAATATATTAAATGAGACAAATATGTTCTGTTCAGCTAATATCTACAACAAAATAATGTTACAAATACATAAGGTATTTAATAAAAAAGATTGGTGCTAAGGCTAGGCGCCCGGTTCGACTCTGAGCAACTCTTTCTGTTATCCATCGATTATCATTGGTTTGAATGCGATAGAACATTACTAACTCACGTATAAAAGGAGAAAGTCCTATGGTATATCGGTTCAGGTGATTAAGGTAAACAATCAAACAATTTAAAACAATGGTATATCTTTTTATATTAAAGAGGTCGTATAAAATACAATTAAACTTATTAGCTGTCATTGATTAAGAATACCTGATTATAACAATTTTACCTTCAACTTAAATAAAAAGACATGCCAAAATTGTTTATATTAAGTTATGTACCTAAGGACTGATTTTTCAATGGTTAGATAAAAGTTACCTGGGGAATAATTATGATGTTGTCGCGTCAGAATGTTTGTATAAGACAGTGACAGCAACAATTTTATTCCTCAAATAACATTTATCTGACTATTGAAACATCAGCCCTTAACCGATAGACCATAGATCAAAACAACATTTTAGTAAAATATATCACCAATTAGTATGAACAGGACATAGCTTGTCGACGTTGTTGCATGTTTTAAGTTTTGTTCAACTTAAATGTCAGTTAGCTTGCAGTCAGTACACTTATTACAAAAGAAAAGTTACTTAAATTGTATAATTATTATTAGCACATTATTAAATAGGCAAGGGACGTCGCTATGTAGAAACGTAGATTCCATGTGACTGTGCACTACATAGGACCTATAAAAGAAAGTTTATCTGTCACTATATCCCTATGCAACGGATTTTGATGCGGATTTTTTAATAGGTAGAGTGATTGATGAGGGAGGTTTATATGTATAATAACATCCATTGGATAGTTGACACATTTAGTATTAGACCGCCATAACATACCAAAATCATCTAATTTCAACATTTGAAATCTGCGAATTTCAAAATTAGCACACAAAAGAGAAATTAACAATTGTATCGATATTATCGACTAACATAATCTACCGACGTCCCTTCACTACACTACACATAATTTAGTTAGAGAAAATTAATAATATTAAATTCTCGATTAGAAACTGAATCTCAGTTATTTTTCGAAACATAATAGGTACTTTTAAACAGAGCACGTCCGTACAGCCGCACTAATATTTATTCCTAAGCAAACGCGTTGTGATTTTAACGTATTACGTCATTATTATTATTAATTATAAATTAGACGGCTTTTGGTTGTTTTTCATAACGGATTGGCGGGTTTCAATTTCAAAAAATAAAACAGAAGGAAGACATGCTTTACAATGTGGTGATAAAGTTGAGTTTATTGTGAATTCAGAATTTATGGTTGTAAGGTTTTGAGGGTAGATGTCATATGAACGACCATATAATTTTTCTTTAAAACATTTTTTTTTCTGAATTACTAATTTAAGGCAAATATTTTAATTTTCGAGACAATTTCTTTAGTAAATAGGTGAAAAATCTAAAGTATGAAATCCGTCAATCTATATGAACATAGTTTTTGTTAAAAAATAAATGTAAGTAAATTAATTTTCCGCTTAAATATGGGAGTTATTTTTCGAAATTTCTATGTTGCTTCTAATACTTGTCTTATTACGAAATTAGCAAAATTTATAACGCACAATAATTTGATTTTAATCCATAAATATTACGATTACTTCTTAGAAACATTTTCTATGAATTATCGAACGTTCTAGTTCTAAAAAAATACGTCACCTTCCTCCCAACTCGATGTCGAGTACTGTATCTTAATGTCCAATTTATGACAATATAATATTGTGCACACTATTCCTATCTAATGTAGTTTACTTTTTGTATTACGATAAATATCTTTAAATTACGGAGTATCAGATATCTATCAATATCGATACGATCGATAAATGGTGTTGAGGCTAGTGATGTCTACACAAATTACATTTATAAAAAAAATGATCTTAAGTCTCTGCTCTTTGGTTTGGTATAATTAATCAACCACAAATAACCATAAGTGTACTGATTCTGTTACTCCGTAATTTGAAGAGTAAAGCGAATGATTATAGACTTATATCGAAATCGATGAAGTATTATCGATAATATTTAGTTATATTCTGTAGATATTAGTACTGATATCGTTTGAGAACACAATATATTTTCTATGTTCCTTAGATACATTCTAATCGTTATTTATAACCCAATTTCGAATTTGTTTACAAATAAAGAATATTTTATGGTTCATCTGTGTTTTCTTTTTTATATCCTCATTTTAGCAAAAAGATCTACATATTAAACATGGTGGGTCCGGCTAGTAAAGGTCCTGCTAGTTTTTTTTTATGGTATAATTCGGAAAACGAGCAGACGGATTACCTGATGGTAAGCAATCGTCGCCGCCGATGGACACCCGCAACACCAAAGGAATTACGAGTGCGTTGCCGGCCTTTTGGGGATAGAGTTTGCGGATATAAGGATCGGGAAGGAATAGGGGAAGGGAAGGGATTGGGCCTCCGGTAACCTCACTCACACGGCGAAACAAATCATTGTGGGTTGTTTCACGCCGGTATTCTGTGAGGCCGTGGTATCACTCCGGCCGAGCCGACCCATGCGTGCCGAAGCTTGGCTCTCCTACACTAGAATCCAAGTTATTGGAATATTTAAAATATTCCCAAACTGATATTCAACTTTGTTTGTTAGTAAGTATATTTATCGAGTTTTCTTGTTGCCCTAGTACGGTGGCCATCTGGTCAATCTAGGAACAGGAACGGGGTCTTTTTAGTCAGTAAGAGTGACACTACTTCTCGCCCCACCAAGGGCAAGAGAGATCGCCGTAATATATAAAAATGCAGGTCGACATATTACCATCGATCCTGTAGAGATAGATGATCCTGAGAGATATAAGTAGGTAGACCGAAACTTCGTCTGTCATCAGCGACTATTTGTCAGACTCGTCACAACTCTTTTCATTTTAAAATAACAGCTGTGATGTCACGATGGTTGTCCTCAACAAAATCGCAACCTCTGGACCATCAAGAACGGCAAAGCGCAGGAAACAGCGCTTTTTAGTGAGTGCATTCATACGAGGATCCAGTAGGTAAAGACGGCAAGAGTCCGACGTAACACTGTGTAGACAAAGTATCTTCAAGAGGATTTCTACGAGTTGAAATTGTACAATACAGGGGACAACGATAAGCATACCTACTTGCGTCTTGTTCTACTTCCCAAGTGCTGGGAAAATATTGTTTTTTTTAAATGCACACTGAATAGGCACATTGCGGTCGTATGCTAAATTGATTTTAAAAATAAATTGTAAGTACTTAAGAAGTAACACCTTTGAGACCACTACGAGTGTTGCTGGGCTTTTTTTATATTTTTATTTGTCAGGGGAAAATCATCAAATGACTTTTCCCGCCCATGATTAGGCGGGAGTGACACACTTACTGACTAAACCCACCCCCCGTTCCTACTCCTGCTCTGGGCCAAGGCCGGTGACCCATTGCACTTAACCCGCAACTCCGGCTGAACATCAGCCCTATAGGGCCCCGTCTGTGGTGGTCCATTGGCTCTTGGAGGCGCGCGCGGAACGGAACGCGCCGTACACTCGAGTCTGGTTCTGTTCGGGTGGCGTGCTACCCTTACTCGCCAAATCAAATCAAATTCTTTATTTCAAGTAGACCACAACAGGCACTTTTGAACGTCAAGCAAAAAATATATCATAAGGTTTA